AGGCAAGCGTGACTCCTCCGGTGCCTTCCTTACACGGACCACTGCCTGCTACCCGGACGGTCTCTGCGAGCGCGTTGCGGCACTGATGGCACCATATCTCTCCCGGTCTGTGGGCCTAGTCTCGTTCCTCTCCTGGGAAACGGCTCTTCTTGAGTCTCATCTCTGCTGGCCACTTCCCTCCTCCCGGATTGAAGATGGTGCAGGTTCGTGCTCCACTGCTTCCTGGTCCAAACCGTCCGGCCCCGACACCTTTGGCCCCCTGCGCAAACTCTGGGTTCAGCGCATCCTGTCCGGGGATTTCCTTGCCAAGTTTCGCGCTCGGCTGGCATCCGGCTCCAAGGATGCCCCGATTTCTGAGTCCGAACTGGTACCTTTCTTGGGTGACTTGCGCTCCTTCCTGGGCTTGGCGGCTACTGACTTTGATACACTCCTTTCGGTCCCTCCGGGCCAACCGTTCCGCCTGTTCCTCCTGGATGCGCTGCTTCAGCTCTCGCGCGATCCGGATCGACCCTTTGTGGACTTGCTCCTTGAGGGAGTTCCTCTGGGTGTTGACGAACCTATGCCTGCCTGCCCTACGCTGTTTCCTGCTTCCGCCCCCAAGGACCCATCCATGGACTTACAGCATTGTTCCTCCTCCTGGGGATCAGCTCTTTCCGACCTGTCCACTGTGGACTCCCTTCTTCAAACCGAAGTTTCTGAAGGATGGGTGCGGGAGGTTCCAGGCGGTCTTGATAGCCTCACCGCCACCTATGCTCGTACCGCCGTGGGGAAGCTTGGACTTGTTAAGGCCCCCGACCGTGACCCCCGCCTGGTGGTGGATTCCAGCGTTTCCGGTGTTACAGAACACACCGCTCTTCCCAATAAGTCTGCGAACCCGACCATCTCGGGCCTCCGTCGCTGCTTTCCTCTCCGTCTGGCCCTGGAACAGCTCTTCGCACTTATCCTGGATGTCAGCAAGGCTCACCGGCGCATACTGATCCGGGCCGCCGATCAAGGCCTTCTTTGCTTCTTCCATCGCGGCCGCCTATTCCAGTGTCTGACATTGAATTTCCGTGCACGCGCGTCCGGCTTTTACTGGGCACGTTTGGCGGGGATCCTGTCACGCCTCATGCATCGGCTTCTGTTCATCCGCCATGCCTTGCTTATCTATGTCGATGACCTGATCTCCCTCCTTTCCGGTCCGTCCGCGCCGGTGTGGGCCGCTGTGCTGTGTGTTTTCCTTCTTGTGCTTCGTGTCCCAATGAGCTGGCACAAAGCCTATTTGGGCGCACGGCCGACTTGGATTGGTTGGTCTATGTCCTTGGAAACCTTTACCGCCACGCTTGAACCACCTAAGCTGGCCCGTCTCCGCCTTCTGATTTCTTCAGCCCGTTCCGGGGAGGCGATTCCACTACACCTGCTTCGCAAACTCACCGGCAAACTTCTTTGGGTTTGTTCCCTGTTTCGTCCATTCCGGCCGTCCCTTGCACCGCTTTATCGGGACCAAAGCCTACCTCCACTTGTTCACGTTGCTGTGGCCCCCTCCAAGTGGGAATCCTTCCGTGCAGCCCTGTCCAAAGACCTCGTGCTCACGAAATCTGTTGGTCTGGCTAGTTGCCCCCAGGGCTGCACCCTGGTCACTGTGGCCACCCGTCCTGTTCATACATTGAAGGATGTTCCTCTCCACTTTGCCGGTGAGCGACGACTCTGGATTTCTGTCCGCTCCCCTCCTGACTCTGACCGGAAGCTCTCACAGGAATCTAAAGCTGTCTTGGACCTTTGGCACTCCTGCCTGTGTCAGTCCATCCCGCTCTTCCCGCTGTCTCTCGCGCCGCTGTTAACTTGCGAGGCGTTTGCTGACGCCTGTGCCGACAGCAAACACGCGGGCTTGGGCGGCTTCGTGGCCTTTCCCTCCGGCCGCACGGTATGGTTCCGCTCCGCCTTATCTCCTGCGGAGCTTGCTCGACTTTGTGCTTGGTATTCCCCTGACATTTCCCCTCAGAAATTCATTGCTGCCTGGGAACTCCTTGGCCAAATCGCGCTTCTCTGGTGCGTTGCCCTCGTTGTCCCGGCCGCTCACCACCCTGTACATTTCGTCAGCCGCTGTGACAACAGCCCTTCCGAATCGGCCTCCTGGAAAGGCCTCTCTACTGCCCGCGGTATGTGTGACCTATTGCACTCCTACCTGTTATGGCAGCGTCATTTTTGCATTTCCGCACATATCGACCATGTTCCGGGGTTCCGTAACAAAATTGCTGACGCCCTGAGCCGGTCCCGCGACCCGGGCACCTTGGGACTCAATCCTGCCGATGAGGTCCTGGTCCCCTGGCATCTGTTGAGCCGGCCTCCGCGCCCGTGTTACTCTCCTGCGTCCGCCTTCAACCGTGACCTCTTCCCGGCATTGGACTTCTGACTTTGGCTGTTTTCTCCCCGGTGCGGGTACTCCTTTGCCTGGATTTCGTTCTAGATCTTGGCTTCAGAAAAACCAGCAAAGTCCATTTTGGCACCCGGTTCCGACGGTCCCTGTCCCGACCGGTGCCCGTACCGATCCGTAGCAGCACCCTTTGGACTTGTGTCCGGCCCGAGGCTCTGACACCGATCCAGACCGCTACGGTTTCAGCCATCCGGAAAAAGGAGTCCGTCTGCATTTTTCCCTTGCATGCACACCGATCGTAACGGACTAGTGCCCTCCGAATAACGGTTTCTCGACGGGTCGTATTGTGTTAATCGGAGGGCTCGCAACGGCAAGTCGTAACTGTACCGCAGCCGTTCGACTTAGGCGCATCCGTTCCGCAATCCGACGGTGTGCTAGCCTTTTCTTTCCCGCCACCTCCCCTTTGTTCTCCGCCTTGGATTTAGGCCCTTTAATCCGCAGCTTTCAGCCTAGATTTCCGATGTGGGTTGGACTTTGCCCTTTCCTGCACGCCGTAGGCCGGCTTCAGAAAAACCAGCAAAGTCCATTTTGGCACCCGGTTCCGACGGTCCCTGTCCCGACCGGTGCCCGTACCGATCCGTAGCAGCACCCTTTGGACTTGTGTCCGGCCCGAGGCTCTGACACCGATCCAGACCGCTACGGTTTCAGCCATCCGGAAAAAGGAGTCCGTCTGCATTTTTCCCGTGCATGCACACCGATCGTAACGGACTAGTGCCCTCCGAATAACTCCTGTCTTTGACCTCGGAACCGAGGAGACCTCGGCTTTACCCGAAGACTTTCATTATCTCTACGCTCCTAGGCCTTTAGAACCGGGCGACCCCAAAAGCCCACAAACGAGTTCGCACCCTTGTCAGCGCGTGGAGCAGAGACGGGGGGTCACCTGCCAAATGGCAGCAGACTGAACGACGCGCTCGTAAGGCGTGTCGTGGCTTGGCTGGCTGTGGTGCGATGCGATCACCCAATTTTTAAAGATGGCAGCTAGAATCAGCCAGAAGTTATCGCGAACGGGTTTCTGGGGTTGGAGTTCACACGACTAACAATCACGCAACGGCCGAGCTGTCTTAGCATTGTGCCAAAATTTGATAAAGTTCATGCATGTTCATGCGCCTGTCAGCGTCGGCACTGGCAACGTTCAGCTTGCAGCTTGCAGTTTGACATGACCTGACTTAACGGGGCAGGTCTCGAGAGATCCGGCGAAGCCTTGGTGCAGCGAGGTACTGAGACATCACCAGTTTCGGCGTTTGCAAATGCGCAAGCTCTCAGTTCCGTCAGCTCGTCCAGGGGTCGGCGCCTAGGGGAGTCGCACGAAGTATCAAGCAGAATTTACAGATAGAAGGCATCGCGCAGCAGAGCAGAATTCGAGACATGGAGAGACGAGAAATAGATGTCGTGGCTGCGCTGAAGGCCCTGCGCTGCCATGCCACAGGCCTTGCGGAGATTACATACACGGACGAGGCACGCTTGCCCTGTACATTCAGGCGCCGATTCGGACCTGTTATTTTGCTCTTGCCAGTGGTGTTCATGTTCATGGTCGCTACTCGATTGGCGTGAGTAGCTCCCTTTAAATGTACTACAGGCACTCAGCAGCATCCTGGTAATCGCGCTCTACTCCGCAGGATTTGCAAAAAGACTAACAGGAGTTACGGCAGCAGCAGTCCATGAAACCGTCTAACAGACACTTCTTCAGCGGTCTGTTAGAATCTGGAAAGTTTCCAGTGAGGGCTGCGCGCTCGACCCGCCATCAGATGGCACGTGGTTGCAGCCTCGGTGTGCAAGAACAACGTTTGCCTGAAGTGTTCCTCATTTCCAGGCCGTCTGACAGAGCAGACCGATCCGACGGCACCCCGAAGTTGTTTGAATGGGTTTGGGAATGCGGAGGCAGAACATATCTTTCGCGACAGGCGCCGCCAGCTCTGACAACGAGGCCGAGGGATGCCTTCTGCATGCTGTTTTTGTGTCCTGAACGGCGCGCTTGAAGGCAAGATCTGGCTCGGAGGTCAGCAGGGTCCTAGTAGGGTCAGGGTCATGGATCCCCGGAGCGGTCGTTTTTCATGCACTGCGAACGTCAGGAGCACGGGCAGCCCAGTGCAGAAAACGCACGCTGCTGGTTCTGATTCAGCCTGCCTTCGTAGACACCGAGTTGCTAAAAAAAAGACACCGAGTTGCAGCGAGACGATGTAAGATCACGAAGCATATGCTTGGAATCTAAGGAGCTTCAGACTCGCAGGCCATGGTGGGAAAAGACAACTCTGGGGCTGTGGTTGTACGGGAATTGCATCATGGAGGCCGTTGCAGTCAAGGGCCGTTGCTTAGCAACTGGATCCAAGAGAAAATCGAAACAGCGCTCCGAGAGGTGACATTCCCCCGAGATCGTTGCGTTTGACTGATTCTAGAAGAGTTGGTTTTGTTTGCATCCCAAAAGTCGTCCTCGGACCTGACTTTGTTCACATACTGCAAGAAACGGTCAAGAAAAACTGCCACCTTCATTGCGCCAAGAGTCTGTTCCCTTGCAATTCCCGTGCATGTGCTGGGCAGGTGTTGTGCGCTTTGCGTGCTCTGGGTGAGCCTAGCAAGATCCAAGTCAGCCATGTGTCCCGCCTCTCAGCTCTGGGATGTGCAGCCATGGAATGGCTTCACTGATCCGTCAGAGTTGGCTCATGCCGTCAGGTGCAAGCAGCTACTCGCTGCGAACCTTCAAGTGCTGGAAATTGCTTGTGTCGATCCGTTGGCATTGTGACTCTGCTGAATATCCACCTGTCAAGCACGTGAGCACACCAAGTGCTGGTGCCTCGAGGTATCTTATCTGCTACTCTTCGGCCAAGCTTGCTGTTGCTGAAGCCCTGGTGCGAGACGGGCATGGCGTGCGCCCGGTGACGGAGGCAAGGAGGCTGGTGAAGCTTCGCAGTCAGAAAAAGCGTTCGAAGGTCTATCCTGGGCCATCGGCCTCGGTGTTGGCGGCTGCCCGACGCCTTGTGCAGAGTTACAGCAGGGCACGGTCGGCGGCGTCGGCGGGGTGTTCGTGAAAGTGCTAAGGCTGGCCTGAGCAGCCTCGCCATCGCGCAGCCCAAAGCTCGGCCTCAAGACCTCGCCATGTTCGCGGGCGTTTGGGTCGAGGAGTCTGCGTATTGCTTCTGCACTTGCCTGCCTGACACAGTCTGAGTCTGAGTCTTCTTCAAGACAACGTAACTGCTGCCACCTAGAATCCAGCACTCTTAATTGTCTTGGCAAAGCCTCAAGCTCAGCACAGTCGCCCACCCGCTGACGATCCAGTATCAGCCCGCTTGTGCACGGGTTTCTGAACGGGAAGACTCCCACCGATGCTGTACAACAGGAATCGCACGAAGAGACGGTGCCAGTCCGAACCCGAAACTTGTCAGTCCAGCTTGTCGAGTCGACTTCGTAGCATGCAAGGCGTTTGGAGGCTTTCTATGTTACCCTAGGATCTGGATTGGTCTCAGCACATATCAGTGGTTTTGTTTGCCCGATCAACAGGAGGAAAATGTAGACCAAGCTGCTCCATTGTCGCAGGATGGCATATGGCCCGCTGATTCTGTTGGCGATGAAGGCTTGCTTTCGCAAAATGCCGCCCGATGAGCACAAAACCCCAAGAGCACCTGAGGTGCTCACAATGACGACTCAGCCGGCTTAGATGACCCAGGCCAAAGTCCAGATCTCAGCTCGGCGGTCGGGTCTGCGGGGCAGCCCCAAGGCCCGAAGGACTCCCATCTTTCCATCGTAACGTGTGCGGGCTTTGAGAAGCACCTGGAGAGTAGGACGCGATCTGGGCAAACAGAAAACGCCGAATCAGCGTCGACGAATCTGGTCGAGTAGAGACGAAGTTACCACGCTGTCGCTTCAAGTTTCAACCTAGGTCTTCAGCCACCGCCGACATAACTAAAACCCAGCCGCAACTCAAGTAGCGATCCATGCTCAGTCATGCTAACACGCTCGTGAAACAATCAAGTAAGGTTATTGGACGAAAAGTATGAGAACTGCCAGGTCTTCAACCCGCTCGCTCACAGCATGGGAAACTCAAGCAGACCAAGAGGGGTCAACTTGCACAGACGACAGTCCATTCTTCTCACCAAGCGATTGTAGCCCAGAATGCCAAAAGAATCTTCCCCTGTTCTGCTTTCTTTTCCATAACCCGAGAAGGCACGATGGCCTTTTGCCATGCACTGCTCCCCAATACGCATTTTTGAGGGTCTGTTGGTTTAGTCGACGCCTGCAGCATAGAATCTGAGTAGTGACGCCGTTTTTTGCATCGCTTGCTTCAGGCAAGTTGAACAGAGTTCACATAAGGCAACGGCAACGGCATCCGTCATCAGTGCATGTTGCCATCGGCTTCGATTTGGTCGTCACTCTCCTCATCCGATCGAGGACTCGGAAGAGGCACGAGCCACTGAAGCAAAAGCCTGCAACATCTTGACATGGACCTACACGTAATCAGGGATTAGCCCAGTCTGTGAAACACTTCACATGGTAGTCGTGTCGGGGCACAAGCCGAACGGCGCAGACACGAGCTAAGAAGTTGGCATTGAGGTCACTTCCCGGCCTCGGAACGGGCTTTTCACGGGTCGAGGAGTGTGGCTCAGCGAGGCTCTGCCTGGGCGAGTCATGCGATGCGAGCACTCAGGAGACTACGCTTCGTGAGCCGTCGTGGCCTTCTGGCAGAGGTGACTGGTCGTGGAGAGAATTGCCCCTAGGGTTGATCTCTCAGTCTGTGCATCGGCAGCCTTCACCAAGGCTCATTTTGGCGAGTCATTCAGAGTGATAGCGGGCTCCTTTGCCTTGGAGGCAGCCGGGCAGCATTTGCTTCCAGCAGCAAAGCCGAGTCGATCGTCGTCGCACGGGTTGTCAAGTTCTGCAGGAAGACAGCACTACCTTCGAGCCGAAGGACGATGTCAGGGAGGTGTCTCGCAGATGGTCAATCCTGTCCTTGCAAACAAGCTGATCTTTGTAAACCAAGTCCAGCAAGCGGACCTAGTAAAGTCATCATTTCCGGACACTGGGGCGTCGTGGAATCGCGTTTGGCCGTGTAAGAAGCGCATGTAGTACATCCAGCATCTACTACCGTTTGCTGATCTTGGTTTCACTGCCACGTCCATTACTCGCGCATTCGGGTTGAGGTCGCCAGGTGAGTCTATTTTGACCATGTCAGACCTAGTTGTCAAGACCGTCAATCAGACTCCAGGGTCGCGAGTCACATGAGATCTGGCATGATCTGGCCTCGAAGTGCCAGCGAGGTGCATGAGGAAGGCAGCAAAGCAATTGCCGTTCGTAAGATAGCTGCGTATGCCTCAGCGTGCTTCAGCCGCGTGTCGAGCGTGTCGCTCCGAGCATCAGGTCGACACCGAGCCTACTCCGCTGCATACGGGCAGCTTTACTTCGCAGCTGGTGGGGCTCCAATGCTTCAAAAAGCTCTCCTCTGGCAGTGCCGCTGTGCTGCTGTGCTGTTCCTCAAGGTTGCTTCGTCTGAGATGAAGGACATCCCCGAAGGACATGCGAGGGTTTCGGTCCGCTCACCTGTCCACCTCAACCCCGATGCTTCAGAGTGTAAGTGCAAACCTGAGTCTTCGAAATCCCGAAGCGACCGGTGCCCAAACAACAAGAAAGACACTCCCTTGCACTGACACCCACACACTGAGAGCTGTCACGAGTGAAGTTATGTCGAAGCCCAAGCTACCCTGCCAGACCAAACGAACATCGTGCATCTGCACTTGGACTGGTCAAAGGGCGTCCTCGGCCTAGCGTAGACTTCCGCATTGACGATGGCGCCATGTGCAGCGAAGTTGTTTATACGATGTCACAAGCCGAACGAGCAATGCACGTGAGGATGGCGTCCCATCCTCACATCCAGCTTGCAATCTGAAGCTTCGCTGGCTCACGCCAGAACGCAAGCCCGTGGGCCCCAGCAAATTCATGCAACACATAAAGTTCAGAATGTGGAATCCCATGAGGTTCAGAACGTCAAAAGCCTTAGAAAAGGGTGTGCGCAGGCACAGCCAGGGATGCAATCTCATCGCAATCTCATCAACATGGTGAGTCGAGTGCGTGTTTGGTATGATGCATATTCCAACCGTGCAGGCCGTGCATGTAGAGAACTGCTCATCTGCGTGGCGTTGGGTCCCTCTGGCTGATATGCCACAGATGGCTCATCCTTTGCCGCAAGCTTCGTCATCTTCCGTGAGCAGCAACGCACTCGCACGTGCGTTCCTGCACGTCGGGTTCTTTGTTGGTGAAGTTTGGGCATCAGTTTTTGTTGTGCAGCTTGGTTTATGAGACTTTGGCAGAGCTCTGCATCTGGTAGGCTGGCATCGGAGCCTACTCGTACGCTCGTGGTTCGCTGACGACGTTCTGAAATATGGGCTCGGCCTTGCATGAAGGAAGCCCACCTGGCCAGACACTTCATGATCCGTGGCGGTGACGGCAGCATCGACGGGACACGGTTGTGCGTAAGTTCTCAGTTTTGAAGGATTGGGCCACTTATACGAGAAATTGTGGGGATCTTCCTGCCAAGCCTTTCTCGGGACGACGGCAGCGAGCACGCAAGCCCGACGGTGGCCGCCGAGGCCGGCCGCCAGCAGACCGCGAAAAAGACTACTTACACTTGGCCTCCGCGCCACACCCAATAACTTCAAGATGAACCCGGGAAAGGGGTGCGATTGCAGGGCAGAGCACCCAGACGAAGCCTGGCCGAGAATCCAGGTGAGCGAGCAGGTGAGCAGTTCAGGCATGCAGCAGTGATGCTTTGCACCAATCATCTTGGAAACGGAATAGAAGCCGGTGTTCCAAAAAGTCTTTGAAGAGCGATGGCAAGACAAAGCGGGCAGCCACACGTGGACCTCTTCCTGGAAGCAGCCGGCAACGGCAAAACAGCTTGACAGAGGCGACTCACAAGACCGACCAAGTCGAGGACGGCCAGCCCGAGGACCGCGCCGAGGATCCGCGAGGACGAAGATCAGCAAGAAAGCCAGGACGACGCCGCGGATCCCCACGGCGCCATACCGTGCAGGATTAAGATGGAGCGCAAGCTCAGCGGCCCTTGGCGCACAAGAGCGACTGACTTGACCCATTGTGCGGTCTGCAAAGGGGGGCTGTAGAAGTATTCATGGGCGATTTACACACGCCATGCAACAACACAACATGAATGTCCTCGAACATGTAGGATGCGTGATAGGGATCTCCAACGTCAAACGCAACTGCACGGCGTCAACGCGAGGTTGAGAATTTTCCGTGTTGGAATCTGAAATCATGTCATCTGAAATCATGTTTTTTGCGTTCCATGTCTGTTCGGGTGCTTGGCCGAACATATTGATTGAGACGGGTGGGGAAGCCAGTGATGGCTGGATGGATGGATTCCTGCGGTGCTGGGTAGTTTTTGCGGGAGCTTGGGTAGGTGCTGCAAGTCGGGTGTGAGTTTCAAGGCAATGCGTGCTCGGGAAGGTGATGGTCAGTGATGGTGACGGTGAGCAGCTGCGTTTCGGTGTGGTGTTACATACATCTCCGTCGCCTGTTGCTTGCGGGGTGCATGATGCGATCGGCATGCCCTGCAGTCTGCGTCTCTGATAGTTTCGAACGTGTCTGCCATTCCTTCGATGGCGGTGTGAAGATGGCCTCGATTCTCAACTGGATTCTCGTATTGTAGTCCGACTAGCGGACGGATGGGCGGACAGACGGACGGACTGAGACGGACAGACGGAGACACGACGCGACCAGGCGGACGGACGGACCAGCTGCATTTGCAAACGCTGAGGTATTGTGGTGCTGGCCGGGGGCTGCAATGGTGCAGCTGCTTGAACCGACACTGCTGTTGCTGTGTGTTGGTACTTGCATCGGGTGGAATAATAATGGCTGGAGTGTGTGGTGGCGCGGCTGCTGAAAAGTATGTGGTTGATAATCCTCCAACAGCAAGGGCTCTTCTCGCATTGGGGCCCGGGCAGAAGATACCTGCAGCATTGGGGTGGCGGGAAGGTTCGTTTTTTCGTTTGGCCGGGCAGCCGGCCAGCCGGAGACTGCGCACTTCGGCAGCTTCGCGGCCGTGCCTGTCTTCAAAAACATTTTCCGCCTGGTGCTGCAGCACCTGGGGCCACAGGAGCCTATGCCAACGGACAGCCCTTTTCTGGCCTGGGCAACCGATGAAGCTGGCAGGCAAGCTGTGTATCAGTACCGGCTCATTTGCTCGGATCTCACCAAGACTTTAGACGCGGAAGGGCCGTTTGCATCATGGCTGAACAAATCTGCCCATGACTTGCCAACATTGGTTTTTGGGCCAGCGTGCTCAAGCAGATGTGGGTGGCTGCTGTCGCGGAGGACGAGGCGACGTTCGTGGAGGTGAACGTCGACCTCGAACCGTCCATTCCAGACGACTGCCTGGAATTTTGGAACATTTTGTTACCCCAAAAGGCCGCCAAAAACGGCGGGCCATGGCCGCTTCAGTTTTGTTCCCCAAACGGCCGCCAAGCGGCGGGCCATGGACTTCCTCGGCTTCTGCTGCCCGCCGCGCCTCAGGAAGACCAAAAAGTTCAGGGTAAGGGTTTTGCCCCGACCCGTAGAGCACCTGGAAAAGATGACCTGTATCTTGGTGCTTTGGGCAATTTTTGGAGGTACTTTGAGGGCTTAGTTAGGGTTTCGGGGGGTTTATAAGTGATTTGAGGATGTGTCGGGTTTAGGGTTGGAGGGCTACGGGTGTAAAGGTTTGCGGACTTAAGGCTCAACAGTGTAGGGCTAAGGGAAGATTAGGGGTTTTGGGTCCAAGGTTTTAGGGCATAGGGTTGAGGGTATAGGGCCGACGGTTTTAAGGTGTCTGGGGCGCTAGGGTTTGGAGAAGGTTTAGGGTTTAAAGTTTAGCCCGCCGCACCTTGGGAAGACCAAAGCTGTTTAGGGTTGACGGGTAAAGGTTTGCCAGGACCCTCAAAAGTACCCAGAATAATTATTGCTTAGATGACCTCTCTATTTGGCACCCTGGCGAATTCTAAAGGTATTTTTAGGGTCTAGTTAGGGCTGGGGTTACGGGGGGAAATTAGGGGGTTTGGGGGCTTATCGGGTTTGGGGTGGTATGTGGGGCTCGCTCAAAAAGATCCGTGTCTTCAACACAGTATTTTCCCTATATATAAAGTTTTCTCCGCTGTAAAAAAAGGAAAACAGCTGTGAGAACAGCCCGATGCGCTCCCTAAACCGTAAGCCCTTAACCCTGCATGCGGAACCCTAAACCCAGCAGTCCGCTCGCTGATCAGCAAAATGCAAGAACAACCGCGTGCACCAAAAACCTGAAACTCCAATACCCCTAAAACCCCCAAACCCTTCAACTCAACCCTTAAACCCTCCTAAACCCTGCTCTTTGCTTCACGTGCGCTTCATGGAACGCGTCGACTGCGCTCCTTTGGGGGCCCTTCAATATGGGGATCAGAGTTTAGAGGTTTAGGGTTTATAAAGTTTATGCACAGACAGACCCTCCGTATACAACTATACTCGGGGGCCAAAACGGGTGCCCCTACTAAATCGGATATGGGGTCACGAAAACAGGCTCAGGGTCAAAAAACCAAGTTCAATAATCGGAAAAACATGTTCAGGGGCCGTCGGGGTTAAGCAAACAGGCCCGATGTCAAAAAAACAGGTTCAGGGGTTAGAAGAACGGTTTCTTCAGATTGTTCCTTCGCTTGCCTTCATGTCAACTGCAAACGCCCTTGCAGATATTGAAAAGTGTCAAGGTGCAGAGTAGTGCAGGTAAGCCCGCCCGCACTTGCGCTATTTGGAAGCTTCACTGCCCATATCTCCCTCCTGCTGCTGATCGAAACATGGTTGGCATTGCTGGACACTGACACAACGGGCTACTGACCGGAGCTGATAGTGCATCAGATGGAAGTTCTGATCATCAGATCGGCATGCTTACCGCCCTCAAAAAAGGTAGGTCAGTTGTTATCAATGACACAAGAATCTGTTACAGCGACAAACAGGGCTTGCATTGACATGACAGGCATACTTTCTGGAGGAAAAAGGTAAAGAAACTACTTTTTTGAGCAACGGAGTAATGAGACTGCGCCCTTTGCACCCCGGCAGGCCCGGCGACAGAGTAGTCTGCGAACGCCCCTTGCTCCAGCACCCGCCCTAGCCCCAGCCCAGACCCAGCAAACGGTAAAGAAACTACGTTGCAGTCCGCGACACCTTGCTCCCCCAGCCCAGCTTTGCTCCCCAGCCCCACTCCAGCACCACCTTCTCAGATTATTTGCAGGTGACGTAGTGGTGGTCTGCGAATGCCCCACCCCCTAGCCCCAGCCCTCCCGGCCGAACAAAGTAAGCTTTGATCGTTTCTTATCGCCATTATGTCGGTAACACAAAGCATGAGATGGTTACAAAGTACGCACACGTGGTGCCGCTACACCCTACCCTCCTCGAAAAAGGCCCAACATGGCGCCGTACCTTGCAAGCTGATCAACATGGTCTGGGGTTCAAATCCTTGCCAGATATTACAAGGTCAAGGTGTTACAACATTTTATCACGCTTGCCAGTCAGACTGCTTCAGTCGTGCATGTTAAACACTCTTGGCACCCTAATCTGGATGCCTCAAGGGCCCATCCTTTTCTGCAGGTCCGTAGGAAGATCGTATCCGGACGACCCCCTGCATCCATGTCATAGTTCGCATGCACATGCACAGCCGCCAAGCTGCGTAGATGACAGTATTTTGCTCCAATGCACATGCCGTCAGAAGCTAGGAAGCCAACGCATTCGTTCGAAAAGAAGCCAGAACCCTCGCAAGAAATCGTGCAAGAGGATTGCGTGGCCTAGCAAAGGATTCGAAAATCGTGGCGCTTGATCTTGTCAGGAACCATTTGGCGGCGGATATCACGGAGCGACTCGCACATGGCAGCCGTGGAGCTGCTGACAGAACAGGTGCCGACATTGCCCCTGATATGAAGATGTGCCCATCTCTCTTTGGGAGGCCGGAGGTCCCGGTTCTGCACCTCCTGCCAGTGGTTTGAGGGCAGGTGCTTGGATCATCTGCGGCGACTTTTGTCTGCAGGCATGGAGAGCCGCACGTTGGCAAGCTATGCGCCTCTGGCACACACACCTTTCGCAGGTTCTCGGGCCGCCTCGTGGCGAGGAGCGTGGTCCACAGGTCGGTGGCAGAGCGTCTTGTTCCCTTTGGCCAGGGCTTGATCGGCGGCACCTTGTGTCAAAGCCTCGAGCAGTCCGGAGCTCAAGAAGGCACCATGCGTGGCCAGTTATTGCATTATCGTCATGCAAGAACGGCTACCCCAAGTGACAGTGATAGTTGCATGCATGCAGAGTAGCAACAATCTAAAGATGCAATTCAACGAACCATCCGTTCTCCTTAAGCGCTGGAGTGAGTCGGTTGGGTCGGGGTGCATCCTTGAACCTCAATGTACAGCTTGGCCAGGAATGACTATGCCTGTGCCTCACGCAAAGCATCGGTTAGGCCGGCGTAGATCTCCGAGCAGTGATGAGCACCTTGACGACCATGACGTCCACGACGACCAGCACGACCACCAGGAGATCACCAGGGCACGACCTCGAGACCACCAGCAGACCACAAGAGGAGAGAGCAGACAGGAGACCACGACCAAGCTGCATCCCCAAGTGAGTCACGGTCAAAACCCCGTTAGTCTGGGCTGCATTTTGGTATGGCCCACGGTCTTGGACTGGCCGATTCCCCGGCCCATACCCCCCCACGGGCTCACATGACTCGGCAGTAGCTGTAGGCAGGTTATGATTTGTTTTTGCGTGGGTCTTGCATCGTGTTTGACCGTCTCGAGGATGCATACAAGCGTGACAGTCGGCAGAGCGGTGTGTCGGTTTGTGTAGTTCTCAGAATGGCGTCAGGAATGTAGTTGTGTGGCCTACCGATACCCCACTAGATACCCAGCCTGCACATGTTGAAGGCCCGGGGCCCTTAAGCCCCAAATCCGTACACTTAGATTGGCAACATCGCTGCTCTGATGAATGAATGCATGCATGCATGCATGTATGTACATATGCGTACATATCAGTACTTAGTACTGACGAGTTCAATCCACGCCCACCGTGCTTCCCAGGAGTACTGGCAGATTCAGGACCATGGTCAACATGTTTTCCCTGCAAGCACAGTGCTGGCGGCCAGATTGCTGTCCCCAACGGGCACAATCCAAGGTGTTCGATGTTAAAAATTACCCATGTATTGGAATTTCGCTTTCCGCAGCGTCACCAGCCAATGCTCTTTACTCACATTGGCATTTCATATTGTGCACTGTTCGACACTGATTGAAGATGCTAACAAGCAACGGCGGCGCAATTTACACGTACATACAACAAGTTCACTCGATTGATCGCCGAGGATCGGCGCACTTGCAGCATCTTTGGTGTAGCCTCAAGGTGTGAGTAGACTAAAGCTGGTTGCAAAGTATTGCTGGCAAAGTTCCAACGCCACTGTGGGCTTGTGGGAGATCCCAAGCATTCCCGGTCCATACCATGCCTCGCAACATCTCCCGTGCAGCTCACACACTCCACGAGCCGATGGCACGAAGGTGCTTGTCTTGTGCATGCGCTGTCATTTGCTGCGCTCTGCGATGCTTTTCGCCCTTGCCGAGGCTGTGCTCAGTTGAAGGCGAAGAAGGGGTCGCCTCTGAGATGTCGACCCGGTTCGAGGCATGCTTCCCATTCCAAAACAACAGTCGTTAACCGCTTAGATCGGCAGGCGTCCGCAGGAAAAGTCCTAGCAGATGGGCGCGTCCAGCGAGATCGGGGTTTGGGTCGGGCTGTAGAGGAGGTGGGCCGGGCGGATCACCGAGTGACTCTGCTTTCATGGTGTGCATGCTTGAAGTGGGAACTAGCCGGCAGGGTGCTTTGCTTTGCGGCGCTCAACAAGATGAGAGTGGCTTCAAAACAGTAGGGCCCCCATGTTGAACCCATGCTACATGCACTTTGCAACATCTTGGTGGCTCGTCCAGGCAAGCATCCTCTACAGCACAGGACTGATGACCAAGGCATGGCATCGCTATGCATCGCTCATGTTGCTTCAGAGCTTCAGTGCACTGCACTGCAGACGTGGCAGGGTGGAAGCCTCACCTTGGAAAGTGTTGCCGGCTCCTTCACTCAAATCTGGCGCATTCGGGAACTTGAGGCTTCGACCCCAGATCCTATTATTGGAGAGCTGTTCGGCTTCCTGCAAGCAGGCAAATCCGTTTGACAGCCCAGCTCTGCGTGCCATGCCTCAGACACTAAACTTCTTTGATCTCATTGAATTGCGCATCTTTCAAAATCATTGCCCAAGGAGCTTCACGAAGAATGTCTTCTTTGAGTACAGGCCTCGCAGCATCTGCAGCTTGAATTTGCTCCCACGGGGCCAAGGAAAACGTAAAGCCTGAGCAACACAGGAAAGCTTGCGTCGCCATCTGCTGCAGTGGCACGGATCGCCTCTGCCATGGGCCCAAAGGGCAGGGGCAAGAGTGTCCCGGGCAAGGGCAAAGGCAAGGGCAAGTCCGAGTCTTAGCGCTGTGGGACACCGGCGACTGCCTCGGAAGCATTCCGCAGAAATTAAATGAGTTTGCCAGGAGTGGGATCAAGGGCTCCCGCAGATCATCACGGCCAAGTCAGGACGGGTCATAGCAAGTTCAGGATTTGTCTGAGGTCATCGGCGTCTGTCAAAGGTGTTGGTAGCTTTGGAGACTGCTGATAAGTCCACTCAGCGCCGCTAGCCACTGCTAGCCTGCTAGCCCAGGAAAAGCTAGACTCGATTTCACTGACAGCACTCCGCACGTGGGAGTGCACCAGCCAGCCACGATCCCTCAGAGCCGAAGGCAAACGACAGCAAAACCCGAGGCCAAGGCCGCGAGCAGAGAGGCGATCTGGGCAACAGCAAAGCAGCAAAACACAACTCAAAAGCCTTCGGCAGAAGGCTGCGTCCAGCCGCGTCCAGCCCAATAACCAAATTGCAAGACGGACTCCAAATGCTCGAGTTCCACCTTCATGCTGAGCATGCTTCTCCTGAAGGCAGGCTCCGCAGCCTTCCCCAGCCCTGGGCCGCACTCTCAGCATCAGCTCGCGTGACTCTTGCCTGCCAGGGCAATCGTAATTCACATGTTCGGAGTTGAGACTTGGGAGAGCTCGAATCCCACTCACCAACTCCGCGCAGCCTCGAGAACGTGGCTTCAAAAATATCTACTAGACACGGTCATGCCAAAGGTGTCGAATGCACGCCGAAAGTTTACGTCTTTGGGGGGTTTAAATTCACTTGCTTGTCTTGCGTGAGAGAGCCCGAGTCTCGAAGCTTGTGGTGAAGAGCCGCACCTGGGTATTGAACCTGTGGGCTGCCTCCTCCCGAACGTTCCTGGCGTGGTCGCTGTGTCCCACAGTCTTCAACGTCGGTCAGCTCGTGTGATTCAGAAAATCCTGCTATATATAAATAGGTCTCCTAGAGTGCAGCTTGGAAAGCCGACGATGAACAGAAGAATGCATGACAGCTCGGTGGCCAGTGGCACACAGCAATACTCGGCGATATACTCTCCACCATGACCACCTTGGCTTGCAAGCGGATTGACGAGGCGTTCAGAGTAAGGCTTTCGTGAATGTAGGGGAAACCCCTCAAAGATTGAAATGATTCCTGTGAGTGGGTGTGTATGTATGTATGCTTGTATGTACGAACGTACGTATCTACGAATGTACGCATGTGCGAATGTACGTTTGTGTGCCTGTGTGCATGCATGTGTGTATATATGTGTGTGTAATACATGTATGGTACCGGTTCGTCATGCCCCGATCTCCAAATAAGTTGCTAGGCGTGCAATTTTGCAACTCGCGTTCCGAAGTGGGATCTACCACAACTCGAATCAATGGACTTCAGGCCTGAAATCCTGCAATGCGAGCGAACTGGGACTAGACACGTTTGCTACGTGATTGGAGCTTCACAAGTCCAACTAAGCGACAATCCCTCCCCTCGCCGGTGTTTTTAGCAAGGCCGATCGGAGCCTGGTCGAGCGTGCGACCCACGCTGCCTCTTCGAGGCATGTCTGGTTGAAATGCATCGCGGGGCACGGCTCGGATTGTGCACAAGACCAGGTGCATCGGCAATGTCACGACCACCCACAGCCCGGCCAAGGAATCTCGCTGGCCAGGAGTTCGGACTTGCGTTGGTAGCCTCATGCCTGAAGGCCTGCGGCCCCTCCTCTTCGTGTGGGCGGCCTTCCCGAACGAAAGGCCCGAAAAGTGCAAGAGCGGCATAGAGAGTTCGGAAAAGAACTTTAAGAATGAGGAGCAGGTTATGATTAAGATCAGCAAACCTGAAGAAGAAAAGAGGTGACAACTCCAGGATATGTGGCAGTATTGTAGCAGTAGTGGAGTATAATGAAGAGGCAAGGTTTTGTCAAGACCATGGTAGGGTTTTGTCAGGAATCAAAGGTGATTTTGTCAGGTCAATGGTGGTTCACGGTTTAGGGATTAGGGTTTGGGTCCATTTGGCTAGACTTGCGCTTTTCATATTCCTGACTAACCTTGACCTCCCCATATACCTGACGAAACCTTTACAAGATCTTGACAGGACCCGGTGATTCTTGACAAAACCCGCTTGGTTCCCGACACACCCTGTATGATTTCTGACGCTTGGCGCGCGACAAAGCCAACACCCCAATGAAGAGTACAACGATTGCTGCTGCAACCGAGAGGTCGTTTGGTTCAGCTTGTCCTTTGCTGAGTTCTGGAATCCTCTCCTGCCCGAGAAAGTGGTCTGTGAAATTAGCTAAGCCCTGCCTGGCAATCTCTCCCTAAACGTTTGCATTGCAAAGGCTCCTCTAAACTCTTCCCTGCAGATGCTCTTCCAAACGCTGGCTTGCAGATCCTCGCCCAAATCCTGCCTTGTAGATCCCTCCATAACACATGCTTACAAATCCTCGCCTGAACACTGCCTCCCAAACCCCTCCTGCAAGCAGATACGCTGCAGGCTACTCTTGCACGGCACTGTCAGCACCCAGGTGGCGGTACTACGCCTACCCCACCAGCATCCCTCAAGTCTATCATGGCAACGTCATCCAAGCAACCTAAGGTCCAATCCCTGCTTCCTCGCGCCATCTTCCGCCCCCGAGAAGCCAAGCCGCCCGACCCACCACAAGGCACGTCATAGTGGTTCATTCAGAACTGCACCGGCGCCCAAACGGATGATGGAATCAAGCGGTGGCATTCCCGCCGACAAGAAGCAGCGAACCGAGCACCTGCTACCCCCAGCACACCACACAGCAAGATTGAGGCTAGCGGTGAGGCATGTGGATTACGTTTCACACGCCTCAAGATCTCAAGGACGGTCCGTTCATGCGCCTACTCAGTATCATCAGCTTTGCAGTGACTCTCCAATCTCACAAGCATCACTCCCAGCTCGAGGTCAATGCCGACACTCACCACGCCCTGTTAGGAATCAACAGAGAATGTGTTAGCACCAAGATGGGTCGACGTCGTGAGGGAAGGTTTGAACCACCGAGTGATTGATGGGGAGAAGCAGTGAGCAAGTGATTAAATGCTGCCTGGCTGGCTAACAACTACCGAAGTGGCGCCACTGAGCAGCTTTAGGATTGGCATCAAATGCATGCAAGGTGGAAGATCGCGGTCGGGAACCCCGCGCCATTGGTGGGCCATTTCCAGATCGTTTCTATGATCGCTTCCAAAGCAGAAGCGTGACTCTGAATCCCGCACCACACCGCGACAGCCATCGCAGTGCGGCATGCTGAGACAGAATTTATAGCACAGCTGCGAGAAGAAAACTTGCTTCTGTTTTAAGGCCTCGCGAAGAAGATCGCGATCGCCAGGCCGGAGGTTTACTTGACGACACTTGCGCGTGTGGGTTGGAGCTTGGGGAGGTCCTCGTGCTCGTGCTGAACCGATGGGCGCTCCGTGGTTGACTGCACAGCTTCTCACCTTGGCTCGAGACACTGCGCGCATCGCCGTGCAGGTGCCCAAAAAGAGAAGATTCGCCACCGCAGCCGTGGACGCCACAGATCCCGAAGCAGGAGGGGACTCAACACCCACTCCAATTTAGTAGCAATGTCAATTCGACTGCGTCATCTGATTGCAGATTGAACCTGGCAGATGTTGTCTTGCATGGTGAGGAGCCGCCGGCGACGGAAGACATGAACTCGCTTCAATGCTACACAAAAAGGGTTGGACGTGTTTCGTAGGTGCTTTTAACGGCAGAGGGCCCGCCTGTGTAACAGAACACTCGGTCTGGCCTTTTTGCTCCATCATTTGGCCACAGCCACAACTCTTCACTTTGACAGAAATGTCATGAACACGGCCAGACGAGGACAAGCAGATCACCGTTTCAGGGGACCGACGCGCTTTGTTTGGCAAAGTTTGCACGAGACTGCTAGTAACAATTGGATTGACAAGTTGTTTCGGCCATGTCGGAATGCCTCAGCGACAATGGACCTGCCACTGCCCCAGCCATGGCAGCTCGACACTGGCCTCTAGCAGTCTCGCCTGTGGACATTGGAGGCGTTTTGCTGTTTGGTCACTTCCGAGGCGAAGGCAGTGGCTCTTGGAAAGCCGGTCTTGGAAACGCAAAGTCTGCTGCTGAGGGTGCGTGCATGTGTCTGTTCAGTAGTGGGTGGCCGTTACTTTCTCTGTGAGGCAAGATGTGGGTGGATGACATCCAGGCCGAATGTCAGCTGATGGTCAGTGCTCCCAGCAAAGCAACAGCTACTGAGTAGTTCCTTTGTTGCCTTCCTGCTGGCGACTTTAGGCTTTCGCAACCCCGGACCCGAAGATTGAAATCATTGCTGCGCAGATCTCGGAGTGTCACCAAGTCCATGCGGCTTCCAATGTTTACCTCTCTTCGAGCCCAGGTAGTGAAGGGGACAGTGCGTGATGCAGATGCAGGGCACCTACCATGGCGGTGGAAATACAGATGTTAACAGGTGCTGTATGTCCTGGTCGACAAACACGGCGTCTTTTGAACTCAGGGAGTGCCTGTCCGTGTACATTCGGAATGCTTCACCGGAGACGTGCTGGGCTCGCAACGTCGGATGCTCAAGTAGATCCGCGCCAAATCCTTTTTGTGTTTCAAACGCCGACGTCACTGAGCATTCTGCTTTTGGGCATTTTGCACAGGCTGTGACTGCGGACAGCAGCTTCACAAGTTCATGAGGATAATGAATGATTCGCAAGCTGCTCAGCATGAGTTCGTATAGAGCATCCGGACAGTTGGCGTCTTCGAAGCAGGTCCCAATTGGTCGTAGTCGTGTCGTCGTCCCAAAAAGAAAGCCAGACGTTTTCAGATGGCCCTGTCAGCCTGGGGACCCGGAGCGCTCAGAACATTCAAAAAGGGGAGTCGGGCTAAGGGACGGAGGGATGGCAAGCGGGGGCGTTGACATGAGCCGCCCCCAAGCGACGAAGGCAGAGAAGGGAGCAAGCAGGCATGGAAAGAGATCAGGCGATCAAGGACGGTAACGAAGGGAGAAGGGGTGGGAAGAGGGAAGGAAGAAAGTCCGGGGGGTGGCTTCGACGCGCTTCGGTTATTTCGTAGGGGTTTATGTTTGTAACGCTGCTTTGCCTCCCAAAGCTCTCGGTGGCTGCGAGGTGTAAGATTTGTACAGACCCTTCAGCTTGATACGACCCAACCCCTGCAAAAATTGATTCATATGTTTGTGTGCCATGTGAGTTTGGCTCACGATGCCGCTGCAGGCTGCATCCATATCACAGATACTCGTGCATGCTTATGTAAAGTGTAAATCGGTTCTTCTTGCTCTTGTGAAACCGCTATGTGGCTGAGATGAGCACACTGAGTGCGGACAGCAGTCATTACTGATTGGACCAAGCCTCGAAAGATCCTCTGCGTTGTGGATGGGACTTGAAGCGAAAGTGAAGAGTTGCCAATGCTCGCGGTAGAGTCAGAGACAGAGAGACAGAGTCAGCTGCTGAGCGGCCCAAGGGCTTGCGGTGTTCTGCTTTACATTCGCGGCCAAGAGGGGTAATCCACTCAGAATTTCCTTCGTCTCACAACAGATCGGATCTACCCTTTGCATGGTCCAGGCGTGGTATCGGACTTTTTTCGAAGATTCGCTTGCAGCCCAGTCTGTGTCGGGTTGAGCGTCAGCTGCACCGTCCTGACAACGAGGTGCTTACCATCTTCAGGACCAAGGTCACGACACGGTGGACGCGAACTTGAAGCTCGGACTTCCGGCTTGCTTCTCAGAGGGACGTGATCTGGACCTTGGAAATTGTGCCTCAAGCTGTCAGGTGGACATTCGCAGCTACGAGGATGCCTTGCGGGTTTTACAAGACCTCGGGCCTGGCACCCAGCGACGGTGTAGGGTGGCGAATGCATCATGTTCAATGGCGAATCGTGCCCAGGCTGAAGTCTGTTCGACTCTATACGAACAATCCAGACAAGATGACTGCGCTGAAGAGCATCACGCAGGAGGCATTGCACACCTGCTTTGATCTTCAGGTAGAACGCTGTCTTCCCTTGCTTACAGGTAGCAGCACTTGCATCTGTGCCATCTGCGCACAGTGCCGCCTACCTCAAGACGAAGAGGGAGAGGCGAGGTGATACGGTAAGCGGACGCAGCTTTGCAGATGCCGCAGTCGAGGCTGAATCACCGGACAGTCCTGGAAACCTTTAAGTTGCCGGAGCTTGGCCTGTGCCTTGTACTGCTTTGTACCGCTTCGTCGCATTTTATGACCCGTTTGGAGACGAGGTCTGGAGAAATCTCAGCTCCGAATAGGACTTGTCTACACCACTTGGAATCAATACTTTGCCAGGAGCTTGGCCTTTGCGTACTTCTTAAACGATGGATGCCAGGCGGTGCCAAAAACCCGCATAGCTCAGCAACACCGAACCGGTGTCCGGCATTTTGGACGACCATCGGGCCTACAAAGTTCTAAGTAATTGGAAGCTCAAGGGCTCAAAATCTTCATGCCAACTGGCTTTGTAAGGCTGCTGCATCTTGTCGAGTAAGCTACGTAGCCCAACAATTCAAGCAGTTAGTGGGCTTCTGGACATAAACTGTGGTGAGCTGGATCTGTTGGAGACTTGGGGCAGACACTGGAGAAGCGCAGGCGGTTTCGTGGGAGTGGTCAACTTGACATTGACGGAAGGATCTGTTGCGAGTGAGGGCACGCAGGACAGAGTGGGGAAGGTGACGAGAAAGCACGAATAAGGCAAGAAAGGGACACCTGTGCCCACTAAAATCATCACCTGCCCTCGAAAGCACGCATCGCCTGTGACAATCCCTGCTGCTGCACGGGGCGTTCACAATCATTCTGCCTGGAGAAGGGCAAAAATCTGGCAGCGCCGTCCGTCATTGTCAGTGATGGTTTGGGGCTCGTCCCGATAACAACTCCGCCACCCTTCCATCTCGTTGCACTCGCAATATCTCGCAATACTTACTATTACTATACCAGACGAGTCTTAGATGCAGATGCAGTCCCGACATGTGCGTTTCATCTCACGCGAGCGAATCTGATAAGAATCGCCAGGTAATCGTTGCTCGCATACCACTCTCAAACCTTCACGTGCAGAATATTTGGCAGCGAAGTTGGCGCCAGCGGGTCATTCCCTTTTGCCAAAGTTACCCCAAATCGAGCCCGATGAAGCTCATCAACGAAATTCCTCTGCAAGACGAGGACGGCAAGGTTAGGTACGTTGCCCCGAATACCGAAACCGAGCGTCCGATGCCTGCCAGAAGGAGGCCCACCGGTCAAGAGGAGAGGAGCTCGCCGTAGACTGCCCAAAGCTCGACTTCTTCCTCGCCACGAAGCTTTACAGTACCCCCGAGGGCGACGAGATTGCAGAGCAGAGCAACGCCCACGAAGCGATACATAGCGATACCATCGAACCTCTCGCGACGACAAGGTGCAGGTGGTCTTGTACCTGGTGCGAGCAAAAGTGGCTGGGCCCACCGCTATGTTTTGGCCACAAGCATCGGCGATGCCACGTACAGATCCGGGATGCGAGACAATGAGTTTGTGGAGATCACCGCGACGATCAGGCATGCTGACAAGGCCGGCAATCCCACCTGTTGCATTGTCTCTGCCGCCGACAATGTGGCCAACAATCCCGATGCCGTCCCCAAGGACGTGCCAACGCCGGGAGGGCTAAGAGAGAGTTTGAAGAGGCTGCGAGTTCATCTTCTGCAGTTCCGAGAGCATCCCAAAGGTTAAAGCGGCTGAGGCAATGCGACGCGTCGAGCCAAAGCCGAAGAAGGTCCACCGCCCCGGTTGTACATGATGTCAACATGGAAGCTGGTGATTCCGCCCAAGGGGTGAGCCGTCGGATACTAGTGCGAAGATCGAGGCAAACGATTGTGGTAGCACCACCGATGCTGGCGAGGACGAGGGCGGCCACCACTTCGGAAGCTATCCGTGCGACATCCGTGGAGGCACTCATCATCCGTGACACCAAAAACCCAACGAGCCGAGGACACGCTGCGGTTTGGTTATTTGGCAAAGGCCTGCCTCCCCGACCCCGTTTCAGGGCCGGGTCCCTTTATAAATGTTTGAAGGGCCAGGACAACGGGCTCCCTGGAAAGACGGTCGAATCTTCAATGCCAACTGCGAATTTCAGCCGCTTACAGGCGCAAGCGTCGCGATCCCCTTCAGGATGTGTTACATGGGCGCAGTCAGCCAGCCACACTTGTACGCCGAGATCGCTTTCGTTTCCGATCCGGCCAGGCGGGTCATCACGTTTGGCGGCGAAAATGTATTTGGAGGCCCAGTCGGTGGTTTGTGCTGGAGTTGACTGCAGTGCCGAATACCGAAGTCGTCAAACAGAGCGTTTCGCACAAAGAAATCGCGAGGTTGCAAGCACCAACGAAAGATCTGCCATAGTCAATCCCAAGCTTCCGTGGGTTCCACCCTTTCAAGGCTGCAGTCAGGCCCAATGGGACAGGTGGCATGCATCTCGATGCACTGGTTCCCATAGGCGGTATTCGCAAGCCGAATGGGCGTCGGTATCGATCTGCTGTTCGCCATCGTGCCAGTGTGCGTTTGCAATCATTTTCTTGGGCATACAGGGTTCTCTTCACGTGTTTTCTAGAAGTTCGCATTGGCATAAATTCACAAAACCACATGGTGCTTCTTCACAAGGGTGTTGCTCCACCGCTTCTGAAGTGTTTTGGGATTTTCTGGTATGTTCTGAAGGAGTGGTTGTAGAAAACGCTTAACATCTACTTATATAATTAGAAACATGTTCGAGGGATTAGGGCTAGGGTGTTAAGGATTGGGATTCATTCAGCGTTTGATTTGTTTTTAATGTCTCCCTACTAAGGGCTTGAGTTTGGGGTTTGCAGGCTGGACTGCCCCAGTAGGGCCCAAGCACAAAAACCATGCATTGCTTCGGGTCTGACCAGCACATAATTGGTACAAGACAGGAAGTCTAAGCAGAATCGAAGCGCAAAAAAATCTCCCCAACCAGAAAAATTGCAAACTTCGCCGCAAGCAAACAATAACAATAAAACAAATTTAACAAATTGCCAAACATCAAAATCCAAAACATGCATTTGTGTAGTGTCATGAGGTTTTGCTCCACTTGCACGACAAGTCTTGGATATTGTAGTGTGAATGAAACTCCGGAAACTTGGTTTGAGGGTCCATGGATCTCGGTTGAGGGGGTAAGGTTTTGCAATCTGGAACCGACGCGGCTTTCATCAATGAATCAGAAAGAATGTTTGAGCGATAGTGCAAGCAGCAGTAACAGTGAATTTTCAGGAATGTGTGGGAGTTCTGGAAAAAGCACCCTTGTGAAGAAGCACCGTAATCAATCCGATTTCAATTCCCAAGGCAACCTGGAGCATCTGGAGCCAGGGCAGTATAATACGCCTTAGCTGGAGCTACACGGCGAGGGTGGTGTAGATGTTACCCTGCCTCCATGCATACCTTCGTCGCCCTTAACGATTGCCTTACGCTGCTTATGTGTTACTAGTTACAACTGGGGCTCAAGTCCCGCGAAACAAAAGGTTTAAAAGGAGCGGTGAAGAGTGAGGCGACACTTGAAACTTCAAAATTTGGCGGAAGCCGGGACAAACATCTCGGAATGACCTGGCAAGCAAGTTTGCACACGCACCTACACACAACACACAAACACGCAAAGCACGAACGCTCGCACGCAACGAAAGTATAGCATGCTGATCATGCCGGATGTCATGGGCATATCGAAGAGTCATGACTAACTCCCGAGGTTGATGAACTGGTTTCTTTCGCGGGGGCAGAGCTGACGAGCCCTTTGACATGCACGAAGCTTCCATGATGCCTCGCAGCTGGCCTGGTGTGAGGTTCGGGTGCCGAAACATTGAAGATGGCGGTGCCTGGAGCTTGCGAGCTCATCAGCGGCTGCAGGATTACCTTGCGCTGGAGCCTCACTGGATCCTAGGTTTTACTTTAATGCAATTTCACAGCTGGCACAGCCAGGGCACCATAAGCCTGATGCAGTGATCGCCAGGGCACTCAGAGCTGATAGATGGGATATTGTGCCGTCGGATCACAGTCTGAAGCACCTTCAGGCTGTCGGAGTTCTTATCCGCGGGTCCAGTGATTTGTACGATCGCACCTGCAATGCAGAGCAGCCCTCAGCTGTCACATGAATGCACCGGCATCCACGTCCATCCGACTGTCGTCGCATGCTATTCCCAGGTCATGAGTGGTCTCACGGAGCTCAATGCTATCCAAGACACGCAGTGCTCCAAGCTTGCCAGGCAAACGGTTTCACACCACCTTGATCACAACACGCTGAGGCCAATCGTACTGGGCATTCTCATGTGTCAGAACGAGGACATATCAAGCCGTGTGCAGTACTTGAGTTTAACGGTTCCTGTGGGATCCATCCAGACGCAGCTGATTTTCTTAATCGAGGCCGTTTGGAGGCAAATCACAGCACGGAATCACTGCCCAGTGCCAAATGACACATTTTGTTTCTTGCAAATGGAGGGCCGCCCTTGTCGCGCGGTCCTTTCTTTTCGGCCCTCCAGTGCTTGCCGGGTGGTGCCAATCCCACCCCGGTCAAGCCGCAGTCTTCACGTAGACTCGGGCAGCTTTACTGCAGCTTGCCCTTTGTGTCTGCCAGTGGCTTGGACTTTGGGACGACGTCTGAGTGGAGTCGGCAGAGCCAATCAGAGCTCTAATCGTCCTGGCCGTGCTCCGGTGGTCGTATCCAACCTGATCACGGTGACGGTGATTTTGACCATGAGCCTTCTCCAAGTGCTTCGTCGAGAGGTCGCTCCCCTGTGTACACTCGGGGTAATCGTGGCAAATATCGTTACAAAAGGGTTGAAGCAGCTCGTGATGCGAACGCTCCCCGCGTCTGTTTGGAGACGGCCGGAGGGTTCACGCAGAGATTCCAGCAAGGATCCAGGCTTTCCAAGCAGCCACACGTCCATCATGACGTTCATCTCCGTATATTTCGCTTTATACCTCGGGTTGCACCTGGGTTGTCCTTTCAAGAAAGCAGTCGTGGTTGCTGTCTTACCTTCAGGAACCATGGCTGCCGCACGGATTTGGGACAAAGACCACACCATTCAGCAAACCATTGGTGGTGTAGCCTGGGGCTGCTGCATGGGCATGTGGTGGGCACTCATTGGTCCACGGCTGCGCGGCATTCTTGAGTGGGCGGAACCCCAGCCATGGGCCCTGGTCATTCTTTGCTTTGGCGCGGCTTGCTTGCAATGTTGGACAGTTCAAGATTGCAAAAAGGTGTGCCAATCAACGCACCTAGGTTGGCCTACCAATGTTTACGAAGCCTCTTGGCATGAAATTCCCGAGAATCCGTACGAGATCCTGAACCGAAAGCGAGAACTTGATCAAGTGACGGAGTGATGGCAGGAGACAGGACAAGCCCAGGCAGAGAGCAGATCTGGCGCAGATCTCTCGCGTTGCCCCATGCAGGAGTGCGTTAAGAAGGCCCCTTGGCCCAGGCAGAGAAGCCGGCGACTCCACAACAAGGCCTCGGTCTCCTGAGCCAGAGACGAAGTACTGACAGGTGATGCTTCGGTCACAAAACCCAGTCTTGCGCTTCATTTTGCGTCGTCTGCTCACTTCCTCACTTCTCGATCCTGCCGGGGTCAGCACAGGAGCAAGCCAGTGAGCGATCGCATGGACCGAACAATCCGGCGAAGGCGGATCTGTAGCTCTAAGTCCTACTACTTGTGCGGGAGGTGAGGGTTCATCATGCCCGTTGCTGCATTCAGCTGTTATGGGCGGGAAACACGTTGTGCCAGCACATGCCAGCAGACTCTTGCTCATGGGAGTGGAAAGCAGTCGTGAGTGGCAACCACTCGCTGTGACTGCCTTGGCCTTGTCACATCCAGCCATGTTTAGAGCCCCGCTGATACTTGGTAAAGAGGTTGTGTGACAAGGTGTATCAAGCACACACCCGAAAATAAAGGCCGGTGGTGGCCAGCACTCCATGAAGGGTGTGACACTTTGGGTTTTTACATAATGTATCCCGTCTACGTCCAAGTCTGTCTTAGACTCCTCTTAGAGTCCTCGCAGTGACTTCCAGGCCTGGGCGCAGACAGCCATGCACATGGCATCGCTTGCACGGACCTTCCCTGGACCTGGTGGATGACCGACTGGCCCACAGAGCTTCCAAGACCAGACCAGTGGCATCTGTTAGTGATAAGTGTTTGGAGGACACCATTAAGTGGTGGAGAACCGACTGGCCGCTCCGCCTAAAGGCAGGAGAGCCTTCCCGCGATCGCCAGATTTTCCAAGTGGCAGCCTCTCACAATCTCGGCCAAGCAGACCCCGAAGAAAAGAGTGTCACTTGTTCAGGATTTCCGAGCCAGCCTGCGTGTTTGCGCGCATGCAGAATGACTGGGCAGTGTGTGTGTGTGTGTGTCTCTTTCATCTTGCAGGCACTTGGTCGATAAAAGCGCAAGTTCAGGGATGTTGAAAGATCCATCCATCACATGGTCAGGAAAGAAGGTGGCTTTCGGTCAAACTAATGACTAATACTAATGCTTTTACCAGCTCTGAGCAAGCGATTGCACAAGCGTGCCTCGGGTTGCCTGGATATATGCCGTGCTCCCTAGCTGGAGAAGCAATGCAAGCCAATGATGCTGCAGCCGGTCGCAACAGCAGATGACTTGCCATCTGCATGCTTGAGGCTCGCAAAGTTCGCACGATCTGCGCTGATCAAACACACTGGTGGCGGACGGGCTTGCAAGTGCTCGCAGGTATGGATGGTGACCCCAAACGGAGACGGCTGGCCAGGATCTGAGGTAGTTCGTGCAGCCCTGCTCGATGGGCCAGTTCCGAAGGGAATAATTCCCAGGATCCTCCTGAAGATGCCCTGCACGACTACTTCCATGTTCCACGCCGGCCTCTACTGCATCCACCGTGCAGAGCTCGACGACATGTTGTGAGATTTTCGGGGTGCGAGAAAGTACTTCGAAAGGCTCGGCGCGAGCCTCGCTCCACGGCCGCAGCCTCAGAGATCGATGCGACCGTTCTGTCAGGGCCGTGGAGTGTGGAGCCTTTTGGCAAGGCTTCATCCCATGGATGGCACCGGACCCTTCCAAAGGTGCGAGCCTGCGCCGGCCTGGTCCTCACTCCCTCACAGAATCGGGGGTTCTCTTCAGCCGCTGCAAGGTCATCCGACATCGGCCTGAAGACTCGTGGCCTCCGGGACCGCGCTACCGCGTCCAGTTTGCCGGCTCAGATTCCCCAAGCCTCACTCGTGAGTCTGAGACCATCCCGATACTATCCCGAAGCTACAGGTGTGTCCTGGGCAAGGGAACCTTTGGCACAGTGTGCAAGGCCGGGATGGAGGAGTTCTACGAAGCTTCTCCTGGCAAGCGCCCACAACCACATTTTCGAAAAAATTGGGGGGCATGCAGGCAGTGGAACTCCGCAGCCAACGGACGGTTGCAATAAAGACGGTGGACGGCTGAGCTCGGCAGTGCAGACAGTGCTGGGGCCATTGAGGTTCGTCGGCGTTCGATCTGCAAACTGAGGTGGCCATGAGTGGGGCCGGCAGAGAGGCACAACTCCGCATCGGAAAATATGTATGATGCTAGCATGCTCAAGTCGTACTTGCCAGATGGAAGTTCTTCGTCGCCTCAATGGTAGCCCTAATGCAAGCGGCCAAGCTGTCATACACGTAGGGTCCACAGATCTTGATCATGTGGCTGGTCAAAGCAGACTGGATCGGGCACATTTATGCTGATCTTCTGCAGAAGCAGTTCCCTGGCAGCACGATTTCAAGTGCAATACGCACCTTTGCGCTCAGGTGGTGCTTTTACTCGGAATCTTCGAGGGTGCAGAGGAGGCGGGACCTCTGTGGTGTATGTATATGTCGAGCATTGATCTAAAGGTCCTTGTGTGGGATTTATATAAAACGGCTTTTAACATTTTAACTAGATGTCCGCGAAAGATGCGCGATGGGTCCGCGAAAGGAAAGCAAAAATCCGCGAAAGTTGTAGCGTAATAGATTTTGTCCTATAGGACTTGTATGGTATATGCTGTACCAGTCCGTAGGCATACAGATCTCAAACTCGCTGTCCCGCCATGCTACAATATACCGTAATTTACTCAAAGCTAAACCGCCCGGCTGCCAGTCCACAAAGTGTGGGAGGTGGTGTGGGAGTTGGGCATGGTCGTGACTTTCATTCAGGCTTTTGCGCTTCCAGGACTGGTCTTTCCGACGTACACGCAGCATCAACGTCAGAAGGTATTTGTTTTTGTGAGATCATAGTAGGTTTAGCGCGAAAGATCCGATAAAGTTGTGCGAAAGAAGCCCCGTCGTTTGAAGGCCATGGCACACGCCATGGCCCACGACTTGGAGTCGGCTCTTGCAGCCTGGCTACTGCTACTGCTACTCCTACTACCATCACTACTTCTACTACTACTGCTACCACCACTTCTGCTACTGCCGCTGCTACTACGACTACTACTACTTCTTCTACTACCACTACTGCTACTACGGCTACCACTACTACTACTACTACTACTACTACTACTACTACTACTACTACTACTACTACTACTACTACTACTACTATACTACTATACTACTATACTACTATACTACTATACTACTATACTACTATACTACTATGCTACTATGCTACTATGCTACTATGCTACTATGCTACTATACTACTATACTACTACTATACTACTACTACTACTACTACTACTACTACTACTACTACTACTACTACTACTACTACTACTACCACTACCACTACCACTACCACTACCACTACTACTACTGCTACCACTACTACTACTGCTTCTACTACTGCTACTACTTCTACTACTGTTACTACTGCTACTACCTCAAACATGTCGCGCGAAAGTGAGGGCGAAAGTCCCGCGAAAGGAAAGCAATAATCCGTGAAGAAACCATTTCCAGAAATAAGAATATTGATCAATGCTCTGTATGTATTGTCAAAATCATCAGGCACTGCGATAGATGCATGGCCAGCTGGGACGGAAACACTTCAAATATCTAAAGTTATACCAGCGAAGTCCCCAGACAGTACCGTCTGTGCCCTGACGTCCACCTAAGCTCTATACAATCTCTATACATCACGCATGATGATGGTCTCATGCGAGCACATTCTTGCAGAGTTTGTTGATTAGCACGTCGTCACAGCCGCAGTCGGCTCTGGGAAGTATGAGAGCACATGAGCGGTTGTTTTCAGACAACCGGAGGGCAAAAGTGTTTGCAAAGCTGTGCCGCCTGGTACAGTATCCTGCACATATTCTTGTGGTTTCATGCGAAACAGTCGATACTTGCTCCAACCTGTGCACTCACCTGTCTTGCGATGCCATGCAGTCAAAACCCAGCTTCGGAGTGGAACAAGCACAAAAATCGTCCTTTTCTGCCTGCCGTCGAAAACTGCGCACAAGCCCAGCAGTGCGCTTTTCCGCATTTGAAAACTGTGGAAACTGGCTTGGGTTCCTGACATTCTTGTGGAAGCCATGAGCTGACCAAAACTTTGCCACGTTTGCCTTAAACATACATCCCCTTTTAGGGATACTCATCTGACATCCTCCGACGGTGGTTTCATAGTTCTACCAAAAGTTAGTTTATTCGTGATGGTTATAAGTTATCACCAGGATAGCATGTCACTCTAGTCTTTCCACTAGCCTGGCTGCTGCGGCCATTTGGACTTTTGGGTCGGTGACAGGTGTGAACGCTTGTTGGGTCGGAAATGATTGAAGAATGCAAGACACCGCAGCTAAATTATACGCATGTTCCTTCCGAACGTTTCAGTATTCTCAGAACATGCGATGTCGTGTCATCACGATGCTGGAATGTCTTCGTGCCAGTAGCTTGAATTCGAGTCTTGTCAGCAGCCAGCAGATCAAACTCGACAGCCAGCCAGCATGGACAGCCCGTCCAGCCCATCCCAGTCTCGGCGCAGACAGCCCATCCAGCCAGCGCGGACACCCACATTGCAGGACCCGGCTCAGCGTGGAGAGATGTGGAGAGCAAAAGCCCAGCCAACCGGCCCGCCAACCGGCCGGTCCCACCCTTGCAGGACCAGGAAGCCTCGTCGGACAGCCCATCCAGTTGCGGACAGCCCGGACTCCAGACAGGAAACCCTAAGGAAGAGGCCTTGGAGGCCAGGAGCCGGCCTCCGCGGACAGCAGACAGCACAGCCAGCCAGCAAGTTCGGACAGCCCATCCGACCCAGTTATACTGTTTGGGAAAAAGGTGGGCAATCCCGCAACACCTGTCACATGCCCGGAAGAATTGTAGAGTCCATCGAGGAGTCGCTCTCAGTTTCGCTGCGGTTCGTGTCGATTGCTCGCGGATATGGAAGCTGGGTTTGCCTTCTCCAAAACTCAGAGGCAGCAACTCTGCGACTCTGCATCGTGTGCTTGTCCTTTTCAGGTGATGTGCAGGATTATTAAGCTTTTTCTCAGCTTCATAGCTTTCGATTATTTCAAAGGTAGTCCGACCTCCAGCCCTCATATGCCTTCAAATACCAAGCACGGCTGTTCTTGGAGTCTAGCCAAATGGACCTAAACCCTAAACCCTAAATTCATCATTTTCAGACTGATGCAGATTGGCGCTTCATGCGAGGTGCGAACAGTAAATTTCGTCTTGGAGTATATGTCAGCCAGGGCCTGAGTTCAGATGGCGAGTCCGGCGGATCTGCCCTCACTTGCAATCTGTCCAGAGCGTCTCCCATGTTAAACTCGCTGAGCTGCGGGCTCGCACTACAACATTGCCGCAGCATGTGGTACCTTGACGCCACATCGAGCAGCTACCGCAAGCTTTTGCAAACGGATCTGGATTTTCACATGATCCTAACATACATCCACGATATGCGGCACCATGAAATACAGGACAACACAACAAGGCATTCCATTGCCTCAACGAGGACACTTTGGGGCGCATCATCAAGCACCATCGTCAGCAGGCATGGGGGCTCAGCTGGTCAGAGGTCTGTCAGTGATTGCTTGCCGAGGGTTCGGAGATGGATTTCCACCGTGTTCGCTGGGCACTTGAAGTGCCGTTCAAGAGAAGGTCAATCAAATTGCATGTTCTGAGGTGTATACATGTACCAGCTGCTCCGAGGGCTGGACAGCTTGTACAGACACGGGGTGGTGTGCCAGATTTGCTGAAGTGATTGGTTGGCTACACTCGACTCACCTGTGTGTGACTTGTGTAAGTACTGCATCAGTAGGTACATCGGGACATCAAGCCTGCAAATTTGCTTGTGGACCCGCGGATGTACACCTTGAAGGTGCATCCAAACGAAGTGCAGCCATGTTTGCCGGACCAGTGACCAGTGTCATCACAATGGGGCCCTAGAACGCCACTCAAAGGTGTGCGACTTTGGCACGGCCAAGTGGGTCAATACATCCGAGGCCCGGTCGAGCTTGGGTCCGGCACACGGCTTCGGAACCGGATTTGACCGAATCGTCGGAGCCGCATGAAAGCACACACAAAGTCTTTCGAAAGAGCGCTGCACGACCACGGCACGGCTCGACTTATTTGAGTCTTGTTTTGTGGTGGGGCCTTTTAAGCATTGCAAGAGCCAGCGTGCTCTCTTTACCTCCGGAAACTGGAAGCATGCATGCTTTCGTGCTCATGCCAGATCGAAAGGTTGACTGCCGCCTCGGACACACAAACGTTCATTTTTCCACGTATTCGCGACTGCGAAACGGAAAGAACAACCGTTGACCCGGAGCTGCGAGCCGGCGAGTTCGTATGCGCTTAGACTAAGACCTCAAGCGAGCAGCGGTATGTGTTTCGGATGACACACTGGTTGATTTCAAAGACGGAAGGAGTTCCCGTGAAGCTCTATTTCAGCAAACTGTCAAGATCAAGAAAAATCTTCAAGTCTGCCGCACTTGGGGTCCGCTTTGCTGCTTTGCTCCTGCAGTCCTTGAGACCCCTTAGCTTGGAGAGTGCCGAAAACTTGCGAACCGCGGTCGAAAGCAAGGGTTGTCTCTAGTGAGAAGGATGCCTTGAGGTCTGTACTGTGTTTGCGGTTCGCGAACCGGAGACAAACGGATGTGTAAACGATGCCGAAGTTCGAAAGCAGCAGAATCAAAACTCACCCAGCGCCTTCTCCGTTTTGGCTAGTTTTTCGATGGCACCTTGGCACCGGGCCGACCTATTCTACATGCGGCGCATGTCTTCAGCTTGTTTCACCTTTGCATTCCTGCATGCACCAGTCAAGGTGATATTTGATGATTTGATGACACTGATAATGATGAACGAACTCCGAGAGAAGTGGTGGCAAGTAATGTCTTCACATCGGTACACTAGGACCGCATGGCAGGATCAAAGCCTCAAAATGGCCAAAATGGCTCACGAGTAACTTTCATCCCAAAACTGAGATTGGCTGTCCAACCGGCAGTGCTGAGGGGAATTTCGTCAGCTTGTTGAATTTCCGCAAGACGAGCTCCTCACGCGATTTTCCGCCGCAGCCCACAAAAAAATTCAACAGGTTCGTACAGCCTGAGTTGAGATCAACTGGACGATCAGCACGATCACGACGAGGATGAAGAGTTCTGCATAATTCACCGGCAGCTGATGCGTGACATGCCGGCAGGATGGGTCCACAGTGCAGTGGAGCGGTAGAAAGGTCCCCCAGTCGGGGGGGACGGGATTTCAAGGTCGTTGGTTCTTCTGAGTGTCGTCGCAAGGATGCAGAGTCATCCCCGAACGAAACCCTAGACCTTCCCAGGGGAAAGCTAGCAGACTGGACATGAAGCGAGGACCTGGCCGCATGTGCCAATCCAAGCAGGAAGCATTGGTTGGACGAAGGCACGGCCTCAACAATGCACAACAAAGGCACCGGCACAATCACCGGCGGGCAAAGTCGCAGACATGCACACTCAAAGTAACGGGTGGAAACATGTGCAAGGTGTTTCTTTGTTTCGCAAATGCCGAAGCATCGTAAATATTGGTGAGTCAAATGCTGAGAGGATGCACAAGATCGGCATCATTATCAGATCATCAAAAGCACAGGCAACAGGTCCAATGTCGATGTCGCGATTTGTTGGAGTCGTGATGATGGTAATTGAATCGGGGCTGAGATCAAGGTCCGCACGCGCACTACTGCGTGCGGAAAAGCGGACGTCCTTGCCATGTCGGGCGACAAAAACCAGTCGAACACTTGCAGAACCTGATTGGTTTCTGAGCACGAAGGCTTGCCTGCAGTTTGGTGCCCGCAAGTGGAAGAAAGTGGAACGGTAAGGCAAGCATCAACGTGATTATGAACGTAGAAGTTGCACGAACAAGTCAAGCAAGGCGGCAAGTAGACACAGACGAACTCTGCTTGCCACCATTCAGACACGGGAGCCGGCGTGGTGTAACTGCCTCGCCCGGTTCGTGTTCGGCTTTCGGTCTTCTCTTGAGCAGTGCCGTTCGATGCCTTCTGTTTGTGATTGTTCGATTTGCTAGACAAATCTAGACAAGCTCTCGCTGGCGTTTGTACTTCGGAGGTGTCACAAGCCTACGTTTGTTCGCGTGCCTTGGCTCGAGATGCGATCACGTTCACGATGCATTCCTGAGCATCAGAGTGCTTGGAACGGGCTCGACAAGGTTTCTACCGTGCCCCGGAGCTCATTCTGAGCGCGCGCGAACAGTCTCGCACTCGGAGAGAAGTAAAGTTGAGGCGCAACATGTGCTCGAGTCGTGCATCCGCATATTCTGGCAGCACCTCGAGCGTGGACATGTGGGCTGCCGGTTGCGTGCTTGGGGAGATGCTTCTACGCCAGCCGCTTTTTGCTGGGAAGGCAGGGCACCTGAAGCATCTGAGTTCTCTTCATGACCCATAGACGGGGTCGCAGACCCAAGCCCATCGGAACATTCCCAGGATGGGATCGACCAGCTTTACAAGATCATTGAGGCCACATGTGTTGAGTCCATGTCGACCAACATGTCTGTCTGTCTATTTTCTCTTCAGATCATGGGGACCCCAACCGCGCAGCAGCTCTATGCGATGAATCCCTACTACGATGCCGGAGGCGGTGAAGTCTGAGTCCACGTGGCGATGTTGTTGAAATGCATGCAAACACGAAGCCTGCTGTGCAGCCGTCTTCACGCAAGTCCCGCCCTTGAAGTGGAGCAAAGTCCTGCGGGATCGTTGGAGCGCAGAGGAGCTTCGAGAGACTGTATGCATGTCGTTGTCGCCGATGCAAATCTCTGATACATTTGTTCAGGCTGAGGAGCTTCTGGCTCACATGCTTCAGCTCGCAGCCCAAGCTGTCACCTGAATCTTGACTCTCGCTTGTTGGTTGTTGGCGAGGTTTGACCCAAAAAAGCGGCCGCGCCCGATGGAAGCTATGGTGCGGTTCCACGTGGTGTCTTGGGCGAGCCACGGTTGTGCATGCTAGGCTGCTCACTTCTTCGGCGAGCTGCGCCGGCGGCCGAAGAGTGTTGCGGGCACCTCGGGCAACTTCACACCCGGACCACGTTCATGGGATCAGAGCTGTTCCGAGCAAAGATGCTGACAGGCTGCAGACTTCTTCAATTTCACGGACCAGGACAAAGCTCGAGCAATGCTGAAACCGCCGTTTGCCACCTGTTACAAACACATGACAGGAAAGGGCCAGCTGTCCTCCAGAGATCTTCAAGAACCTCATGCCACAGTGCGCCGACATCTGTTTCGATGTGTGAAGCTTGAAGTCATAGACTTCCAGTCTTGTCCCATTGCCCATGTTTGGGAGTTGGAGGAGGTAGCCGGGCGCTCAACCGCCAAATGGGCCGACCAAGCCCTGCCACGCCTTGCCTCGGCGGTTCGCAGTTTCTGCCTGCTGAAGGGCGCGTTAATGAGTGCACGGGTAATCGGGCCAGACTCGCGGTGTAGTCGTACATGCCTGGTTCCTGGTGGCCCACGATGATCTGGGCTCGAGGGTCGCAGAAAAAGTCTTGTGAAGCGCTTGCACCCTTGCGGCCGCTTGCGCTGCTGTCCTTGGAGCTGCTTCAGGTAGCTTGTCAGCTTGTCGTTGTCTCGCTCATTGTTGCTCAAGACGTTCTTGGGAAAGTGGGACACAAGTTGCAAGCCAAATGTTCTTCGTGACTTGTCGGGTGCTTGCTGCTAGCACACCGAAAGCAAATATTGTAACTCCCTATATCCAACATGCCGGGGAAAGATTATTATGGCATCCTCGGAATCGGCAGAGATGCCAGCCAGGACTGTCCGCCAAGCGGGTTTGGTCCGTTTAGGCCCCGGATTTTGTTGTTGTTGGAGGACGAAATAAAGAAAGCGCGCCGCGGCAGCAAGTTTCACAGGTTCTCTTGATGTCTGGAGCATGAATGCCTGGGCATGTAGGTATCGACGAGCTGCCCTGAAGTGGCATCCAGACAAGAACCAGGCGAAGTGCCTCCAGCAATGTGATGTTCTGCTCACCTTGATACCTTCGAGGAAAGGCGGGCCGAGGCCGAGGAGAAGTTCAAGGACATCGCGGAGGCATTGGAGAACAGGGTGCAGACTGCAGACTTGGTTTCCCCCTGCCCATCTCGCATCAGACGAGGCCTATGATGTCCTCAGCGATCCAGAGAAGAAGATCGCACCTTAGTTTCTTCACAGCCACTCCTCGCAGCAGTGTGCTACGGTACACTGGCTTGCGCACAAGCACAACAAGATCCACAAGCACACACGATTGCTACTTCACTTCCATATAGCTGGCATGGATGCCCCAGCCACTAGCTTTGGTGTTTCGTCCCGAAAGACCGCACCAAGGACCCGAAGGTACCATAACGAGTCCTCAAAATCCCTTATCCAAGACGGTCACGGTGCTGGGAAATGTGCTGACCCTGCAGTTGCTGTTCGAACTGTGATGTCACTGTCCAATGCCGTCCACTGGCCATGGTAGATATTCGAAGTAGCACATAGGAGTTGCTCGAAATGTTCTCGATTTGTGGATATGCCTTGACCGCGGAGGGGCTGCACACACCGGGAAATGAAGTTCGGATCGCTTACAGGCAACTCGTGTGTGACGGCAATGTCAAAGTACACAGCCCAAGTGTCGGACTGTACTGCTACCAAGTGGTGCCCGGTGCCCCATAATGTGATACCGGCTTTGTTGGACCACGTCTTCTGTCCTCAGCATCTTTCAGCTCTCAAGTCCGGTGCACATGTAACCCACTGCTTCAGAACCCGCACTGCAGCAAAATCGCTCTCTCCCTCTGCGCGCCACGGCAACATTAGCCGCGTTACGTCAGCCTGGTCTCGAGGCATGATCAAACGCCTTTGGCGCTTGATGTCGACCCGTGGGTCCAAGCACATCCGCTCAGATGCGTTTTCATCTGTAGCACAGTAGCACGCAGACACAGGGCGTGCGATATCTAGACCAAATTGTACACATGCTCAAGTGACTCAAGTCAGCGTTGGAAGCCGAGCCATCAGCCATCGGATTTCGTTTGAATGTCCTCAGCGATCACCGTTGACACGATGCATGTTGCGACTCTGCTGCAACGGGAGCGACATCCAGTGACTTATCTACAGTCAGAATTGATGAACGGGGAAGCCCATTCCAACCATAAGTGCGGCGCATTGCTGCGCCGTCAAGAGTGAGCAACTGCACATGAGCCACATGGCGCATATGCTCCCCGCACATCGGCTGCAAGCGAATCAGGTGTTAGTGCCACTAAGGCCGACTGCTGATACATGCCAGAGAGTGGAGTGGTCGTCCCTGATGGAAGAGAGGGTCTTGCAGTGGGGAGCGCCGACAAGCAACAGGAAGGAACCGCACAGGGATGCAGAGTAAGCACAAGCCAAAGTCTGGGGAGGCGTCTGCATTAGTGCATGCACTCATGAAGCGGCATTGCCGACGCAGCCGTCCTCGGAGATCCGCAGGTCGATCCCAGCAAGTAAAGGGTTATTTCGCTTTTCTGGGTCACTGTCACGATGCCTGCGCGGACGCCTTATGGATCCTTATGGTACCTTTTTTTGTCGCTTTTCTGGGCCCTCAAAAACTATCGAAACCACCAACCTAAGCCTAAAGCCCGAAGTGCAGCCCAGTTGGGGCCGCAGCGGCAGACCAACACCTGGCAAAGAGGAGGGAAGGAATGCCCAGAACATGCCCAGCGTGGCTCGGGGCGTGCACCACGTCGAATGACAATCAAGCCACAACTGCTCCTGACTTGCAGCATCCAGGAAAGTTTTGAGCCGTAGTCATGATGTGTACGCCCAAGACGCAGTTGGCCGAGAGCCAAACGCGACTATGTCAGAGAGTCCGTGGCAGCAGTCGCCACTCACGTGTGACTGCCTGTGATGCAAAATTTTGGAAATTTGTCGGAATGGTATTTAGTTGGCTCCATGTCCGGAGAGAATCATCATGAGCCAACCAAGTGCTTTACATTATCAGGCAAGTTTTCAATCAGGATTCTTCAGAGCCAGAGATGGCTCAGCAATCAGGATTGTTTGGAGCCAGAGGTGGCTCAGAAGTTGGCGGGCGCGTCAAAGACAACCCACCATCTTCAGACCGGAAGCTGAACTGCAGCCACGGATCGTTTGAACAGCACTTGTGCCCAAGTGTTCCTTAATTTGCTTGGACGACTCCATGAGGCTCGCGAGCACGAGTGCTTTCCCATTCAAACTTCATTCGATGCCTCGAGGCGTTCTGTATGCAGACGCAGTCTGCGAAACAAGCGAGAGCAATGCTTTGGACTGTCTGTTTGAACAGCCACCCATTCAATGGCACCCAAAATCATGCTGAATTACAGGGTCAGCACCGCAATGGCTGGGGTTTCGTTGTTCGCACTGGAGGTGGATTTCGGTTTGGCAGTGGCTGTCTCCCTGCTGAAGTTGGGAGCTTATTTTCTTCACGACGGCTCCGTACGGCTTATACATCTCATTACATGCTTTAAACATCATGGCACAGATTCTGATAACGATCACGGGTCATGAGGTGCTTCCTCCCTATCGCACCCCGATCTTACGCCGCTGTGACAGATCTTAATTTTAACGCTACGCCGCGGGCGGGGAGGGGGTGGAGGGGGGGAGGCAGTGGGGAGGGGGGGGAGGCCTACAAATCAGGTAAATTGTCGGGAAGCCGGGTAAGGGGGTGGCAAACGAACGCAAAAACAGGGTGTCTCCCAAACTTTCGGACTGCAGGGAAGAGGATTAGGTGGCGGGGACCTGAGGTAACCCTCAAGATGCCTGGGCCTGTGGCGCCTCGGCGGATTAAATTCGCGGCGAGCGCGGCGAGCGTAGATTTTGCAGCTCTCTTGAGCCTGGTTCGGCCGTTTGTTCAGGGCTTCAGGACGTCGACACTTGGTGGGCAGCGGTGACTAGGTGGCACAAAATGTCACCGTCTCGTGTGTCGAAATCCTGACGGCGCAGCGTTGACCCGCGCGTCGACTGCCACAAATCCGGTACGCAGAATGCATTCGGAAGCCAGCACCCGATCGTCATTAGATCTGTCGGTACCTGCAGCATGCACGAGTTGACAAATTTCAGCACGATCCATGCGGGCCAGGAGCATTCAGTCTCCCGAAGAGTAAAGCAAGGGGTTTGAAGTTTCTTGAAGGTATTGGCGCTACGGCTGCTGCCAGTGCCTACTGTTACTGCTACCGCTTTTGCTACTTGCTACTGCTACTGCCACAACAACAACAACAACAGCAACACAACCCTGTGTAATGTTATTTCTACGCTATCTCCCAAACCGTGAATGATATCCAACCCTGGACTCTAGATGCCGTGACAAAAATGGGTGAGCACAAGGCTTCTATGGCTGTAAAGTGGGGGACCGAAAACTGATCCCCTACACAAGACCTCCAACATAGTTTTGCCTGCTTGGTTTCTGGCCACAGTTTCTGTTACGCTCGGCTGGCGATTCCGGTTTCTACACACGTCTGTTTCCGTAACTGGTTCATGTTACTCCCCACACCCAACCTCAGGTAGTGGACCGCTGGTACAGTAGCAAGTACAGGTATGGGCGGTGTGACCGTAAATAAGCGCTCGAGCATTGGACCTTCCTGCGCCGGGCTCCTTCTCACAACTTTCCTGCTTGAGGTCCATCTACGACCAGCATGGCGAGGAGGGTCTGAAGGGTGGTGTTCCAGGGTGGATGTCCTAGCATCATCTACGTACATGAGCACGTGATGAGTCATGACGGCCATGATGGCAATCTGAACGGTTCGATGCACGGTGCAGGAAACTTCAACTTGAAAGAGAGTCTTGTCGCAAGGCCCGATCCGGCTGGTGGCATGCCTGGTGGGCCTGGAGGTTTCCACTACCAGTTTTCTGGAGAAGCTTGGTTTGCAGTCACCCGCACATGCTACTCTCTCTCTCTCTCTCTCGCTTTGGCAGGATTTGTTCATCACTCCTAAGAGCGAATATGAAACCGAGGATCCGAACGACATGTTCGCCAGGTTTTTCAAGGACCGCCGTCCTAGGAACAAGCCCGTGAAGAAGACCTGATCACGGCAAAATCCACCCCATTGCGGTCTCGGCGCGAGGAATCTGTTACAGTCCCCCACGAAAGGGACCATTGCGGCCTCCTGGGTCCCATTGGGTCCCTGCACGACAACCTTTGATGCTATGCTTCGAACTGCGCTTCGAAAACTCAAAGTTTTGCCCGGGTTGATTTTTCGCGCCATACCATAGCACAATGCGAAAGGACGCAAAAGAGCTCTCTTCATGACAGCAGGAGTTGCACTGTAGAAGGGTCTGAGGAAGACAGCGTAGATGAAGAAATTGTGCAAATTCTTCGACAAGTCTGTTCTCAATTTTGGCAGCATCTGCAGGATGATGTCAAACGAGCGTGTATTATTCGGAGATTCTGATCAACAACCGTTGGCAGGATTCCTTCCATCGATCATCATCGTTTGGGGAGTCCCCTTTTGAGGTGGACATGTTTTTTGCACATGTCTTCGAGATCAAAATATTCCCTCCGCCTTGCCCAGGAGATGTTTGGAATGTTTGGAGGTGCTATCGACATGTTCTCATTCACTTATGGTCAGCATCCCAGCAAACAAGAGCTATGTTGCTGAGGCATGGGCGGAATGGGTGGCATGGGCGGCATGCCCGGCATGCGAGGGGGGATGAGTCAAGGCAGCCAAGCCGTCAGGCCTTACTGCACGTGGATGTGTGTTTCGAACTGTTTCGACAATGATTCCAAAACTGGAAAGGCCTGCGGTGTTCGACCTGCCGTGCTCGCTCGAGGCTGCGAACCCAAAACTTGCTGCCGCTTCACGTTCTGCCGCAGTCTGCAGTCTGGAGCTGATGGCCACAAACAAACACTGAAAGCATGTCGAAGCCCAGGCTGCCACATTCATGATGGCCTGGCATGGGAAACCCGCTTGTTTTCAGGGCCCAGGCAATCCAAAATGCAGCCCCCACCCAATAGAGAGCTGCGACTCGCACGATGTAACTACCGTCCGATGGGGGGAGACTTAGTGACTTAGTGACAACTCCGACTTCCGAAAGCCCTGGTTGCTGCAAAAGTGTGATCGGGAAGTCACATGACATGTCGGACAAAGTGGGGTGTGATGTAAGCTGGACTCTTAAGATGCATGAAAGGGGCAGATGGAGAAGGCTGGAATCCACTGGGTACATTTGCAGGGCCGGGCACCGGTCAATACCAAGCCGGATCGACAGTCTTCGGCCGACAGACGTCATGACCACACCGATGTATCACACGCGGCTTTCAGATTCAGGACCTCTACAACGGAGCAATCAAGAAGATGAAGGCAAAAGCATGCGCATAGCACACAGAGCGCGGGAGTTGCTGACACCTCCACACTCAGCCAGGTGAAGCGCACGTCGTCGACACTTGCCCGCGATGCTGAGGCGCAAATCCGAGCAGCAGCATTTGCATCAGAAATGTCAGTATTTTGGCACCGAATTGCAGACGCTTACTGAGTTCAGGCCGTGCTCGAAGTTGAGGTGAAACCTGGTTGGAAAGCTGGCACGAAGGCCACGCCTTTACGTGCGCTACGCATGTCCAGGCATTCAAGTACCGGAGGTGACCTACGCTGGCGAAGGGGATGAGATTGGAAGCTCGGGCAAGGCGCAGGACTGCAGGAGAGCCTTTAGCCTTTTTCATCGTGGCGTAGTGTGGGTGTGGGCTTTGGCTTTCGACGTGCTTGTGGCAAGTCCAGCGGCAGCGGGCTCCTTTCGTCCAACAGTAAAAGATGCCAAAGCCCCGTTCAGAGTCGTCACCCCCTTGCATGTAGTTGACTGCGACAACCTAGATCCCGAGGGCGGTTGGAAGCAGGGACAAGGACAGCAAGGACGGACGTAGCAGCGCGCCGGGACAGCGGAGAAAACCAGGACTGAACCCAAGGGGCCTATAGGATTAAGGAAATGCGACAGGACACACAGGACTAGCCTAGGCGCATGGGGAAAAGGAGAAAGACAAATGCGACGGCGCAAGTGGCGGCAAGTTGAGCAAATCGCAGGACTAACCAAGGGGAAGGGTGCGGCAGGTGGCGTTGCAAAGCATCGCTCTGAAAAGAAGCGGCAACGCACACCGAAAGCTCACGAGTCCGCCTGTGAGACCCGACCGCCCATCTGGACAATGGCCATTCGGAGAGCGCAGGCTGCGATTTCTCTGTCGACCCTCTGCGCTTCAGTCTCGGCAGCAAAGGTGATCCAGCCTGACTTCGCAGTGATCCGCAGCTGGCAATGCGCGAACAAGTGCAAGGCCGAAGCACGCTGCAGGCCGCAGCCTCACCGTGTGTCGGCCACACCATCTGCACATCTCCCATTATCACCATCGGCGTGATCATGGCTCTCTCTTCTGTTTCTGTTACGGGAACGCATCCAAGCAATGACGTGCAGGACTGGCGGCAAGAACCTCGACAGCCCTTGACATACCGATTCCAAGCCGCGAGCATTAGACTGGACTGCCGCCCAGGCGAGGGCGCCGAAGTCAAGTTCACGCAACCAGACATCCTGGGCTAGCCACCCGACGTACCGACGCACCGTCAGTGACCCGCGCACAAGCTGCACCGACCAACGCTTGGGCTCGGAGCATCTTCACCGCCCCGGAGATCCGGTCAGCAAACCGCGGAATTGTAGGATTTGTAAATTGAGGGTTTCTTCACGCCACCTTCCAGCAGCAACCCACGTGGCAGAGCCGGTTGCCCGGAAAGCTGATTTCGACACGTCCTACCACATTCCAATGTTGAGACTCTCTCGGGTGATGTCGCAAGCCTCCCCTGCAGAAGAGGTACATAACTAAACAGTCTAGTCTGCTCGACCCAACATTACCAAGAGGGAATCTCGGTGCCCTGCAACCGGAGCTTTGGGCACTGCAGAAACTAGAAACATATTAATCATGCTGTCGGGGATTCTGGCTGGCGCGGCGAGCAAGGATGCCGATTAATCGGTGTCTACCATACCCGAATCTGATAAGCCTGGTGTTACCTCTCACACCCGGAAGAAATTAGTGAACTGCTCCTTCAGGAGATGTCTCGGAATAAACCTGACTGAAACTTCGCACTTCGTGAGATCACTCGCACAGCTGTACTGCGACGGCATGGCGCAAACGAAGGCCGTGGAGAGATCCCTCTGGAACCGCTCTGTCAACACAGGGCCCCTGAGCAAGTCTGCTGCCAAGTTACGAGTTGCAATAAATATTTGAGAGGCATCAATTTCATCGAGTGCGTGTATGGTTGCAATCCGAATCCAAACAGCAGCTAACACTTCGGCTTGACATGCACACAGGAGGCATGTGGAAGGAACAAATCACGGACATCACTCTCTCGCAGATCTACATCCATTGGCTGCATGTCTGCCAAAACCCACCAGAGGCTGTTCGTCATGTCAAGCATGAATGGCATTGAGAGAAGAGACAAGTCCCATACCAGCGCAGACAACTACCGCAGCAAGGCAAGCATTTCTCGCCAGCTATCGGAGCAACAAGGAACACGAAACTCCCGCAGAATCAGTATCTGCTTTTCAGGACGTGGTTTTCGTCATCCGAGAAAAGCGGCATGCCACTTTCACCAGAGAGGCTCTGAGTGACTGCTGCGTTCCCCCAGCTTCGAATGTGATCCGTTCTGGTCAAGGGCTCCAATCTCCTTCACCATCGAAAGATTCCTTTGGTGGATGCTCTGACTGGCTTCAAGGCGGAAGTCAGAGGTCATGTGAGAGACTTCTATTGGATTGTTGTCTCTCAGGTTGATGTGCCCATGTTAGACAAGAAGGACAGAATACTGCGCGTCAACGTGTCTGACATGGCACGCAGCTGTTAAATTGCTGCTTGCCATGAAGTTTAGATGTAGCATGCGCGCCAGGTCAGCCCCAACTTTGCCAAGGTCGTGAAGGGTGAGGGCATGCCATCTAGCAAGCTCGCAGACAGCAAGGCTTCCAATCATCTTTCCCGCTGCTTGCCGAAGCGTGTCGTCAAGAAAGGGCGACCTCATAATCACTTTCGACATTGTCTACCCATCTTCCCTGACGGCTGAGCAGAAGGACTCCTCTGAGCCCAGATTTGCACCACAGGATTAAAGCTCTGAAAGAGAACCTTGTCCGAGGAGAAGTTGAAGGCCGCACTGCCCAGGTCTTAAGCAGCGGGACTCTTGCTACCTGCTCGTAGCCAAAAAAGGTTAGCGTAAAGGTGCTGATGTCGATTGCAGCCTCACGTTATCTGGCATTGTGAACTGCTACTTGTAGCATGAGGATGTCAAGTGGAAGTCGAAGATTTCCGAAATTATTTCTTTGCATGTTTACAGTCACTGCAAGTACTGTACAGGTCAGAGGACCCTAAGCCTTTGTCCGTGTCCTTCTGACACAGCAGTGGCCATAGACTTCAAGACGTGCCGGCCATATGGCAAGAAGTTGGTTTTTGCGTAAATCTGTGACACTTCCGAGGACCTTACCTTAGAAACGGCATCCACAGCTGTATCTACGTGCAGGGTGTGGAGCCCGCTGTGAAGCATGTCTTGCACGTCATGTTCAGAGCTGCTGTTCTCGAGATGATGATTTGGATACATTAGCTTGGTTACTTCTTGGTTACATTGAAACCATACCATCACTGTTCTCTTATTCCAACATCCCTCATTCCACACACGTCTTCTGTGCTTCAAGCACTCAGTGACCGACCCATGATGGACTGGGTCAGCATGGCTTGACATGATGGACTTGGCGACAGCACCCAGAGGCAAGAGCAACATCAACTAGGAGCGCTTTTGAAGATTCACGCCAAACACTTCAGTCGCAAATGTGGCGTCAGGACCGAGGATTCGGCCCTCTGCAGAGCCGCTTGGCCGAACTTGGCCCGTTCGAGTGTTCCGATTGAACCCAGCAGTTGTTAGTCTTCTCTGCTGCAGGCCTTCGGGCCAGGAGATATACCAAAGGTCCTTAGCTTGGTGAGCTACCGATGTTGGCGTCGTGTGCTGCAGTTCCCATTTCGTTCTACAGATCATGGTCTTAATGCTTAGGTTCCGCAGCTTTTTGGATGGTGGGCCGAGGAGGGGAATCCAAAGTGAAGCTGTAGATTGCCGCGATGGACGCTTCGTGATCAGCACAGCCATGCACAGCCGACATTACATCCTGTGAATGCATAAAAATGACGTGAGGGCTGGCAACACAGGTTCTGAAAAGGTTGTGAATTCACCCAGTCGCATTCCACCCAGCCTGTCTCGACCGTTGCGGCCTTTGGAGTTTTCCGTGATCAACAGGATGTTTAGAGAAACGCTCGAAAGCTCAGGTCCGCTGAGAATTGAGGGCATGAAAGCACAGAGCCATCTTCTGCTGCATTACAGAAGGAAGCTTGGTAAGAAAGCAGCATGTTTGCCTGCAGGATTGTCATTCCGGATGATGAGCCGTCACGTGTGCAGGCAGGTGGTGCGATGTTGCTAGGCCTTTGAAGATCTATAGCACACAAGATCGCATAGTAAAACTGTTATAGCCTGGCTTACTTTCAGGACGCAGGAACAGTTGGTGGCAAAGCTGCTTCGGACAATTCGCTCGGAAAAGTACATGGGATAGTGTCACGCCTTCAGGACACTGCCTTCGGGCTAGGTGGAGCTAAGACATGGAAGCGCTTTGTGCTTTCCATCTGTGCCGGAAGTTCAGCCCAGGTTCGAACGTGCCGACTGATGCAACAGGTGAAACGCCTCTCGGGACAAATTGGACCCAGGTCTATGATGATTTCTAATTTCGGAAGGTGACAAAAATGATAAGAGAGTTCAGATTTATTCGATATTCTTTCCAGGAGCTATTCACATTTCTAGATTATAGTAGAGGGCAGATACAATGCATGTTCATTATATTTGTTATTGCTTGAAGTAACCTACACATAAGCGATTTATATTTGTTGAGTGCCTACCAACTATAATATGATATGATACAATATAATATAATACAATATAATATATATATATATATATATGTATATATATACACATGTGTGTATATATGTATAAATGATAGAGATAGGACCCCCTTCCCCGTTGGTTTCCGGGCCCCGCCCCCCTCTCCCCCTACCCCACCCTTTCCAGGCCCAAAACTCTCCAAACGGGGCTTTAGTCCTTCCGACCTACCAATCCCCCTTGCTTGACCCCTCCCATCCCATAAACCCTACCCCCCTCACCCGCATCCCTAACCCCCTTTGGGCTGTGGCTTTGGTCTTGAGATTAAACTGTATAGTCATAGGAGTAGAGCACTTGGTTCAAGCTACCGCAAGAGTTATAGTCTTGATCATAGGTATGTAAGGTATAGTTGGGCCTGCGTGATTTGGTAATTGCACAGTGACGCTCTCTCGTTTTTGGTATACTGTAGGGCCCTTCTAGCACCTGTTGAAACAAGCCCTTAAAAACGAGTTGAGTTTAGGCTTTAGGAGTTCAAGGAAGGGTTTAAGGGTCGGAGGTTCCTCCCGCCCCCCCTTTTCGCTCTTCAGGATGTGGTCAGGTTGTATAGTTTCTATAGGAGTAGGATACTTGGTTCAAGCTACCGTAAGAATTATATCTTTAATTATAGGTATATAATGTATACGTAGTTCTCCGTGGCTTACATAATAACGCTCTTTCGTTTTTTGGTTTTTTGCAGTGCCCTTGTAGTACCCATGTAAAGAAGCCCTTATATAGGAGTTGATTTTAGGATTTCGGAGTTTAGGGGTTCAGGGTTTAGCGGTTGAGGGCTTTAGTGGTCTACACTTTTGGGTTTGATGATTTGGTGTTCAAAGGTTTAAAAATGTAGGGTTTAGGGCCGGGTACAACGGTTTCGGGTTTCGATATTAAGACTCAAGATTCTAAACTACTCAACCCTACACTTTGGATTTCAATCTCTATAATCGAAATTATTCAGCCGTAGATTTTTCGCATATTGATCGTAGTATGTTCGGGTCAAGGGTTCATTATCATAGGTACGCAATAAAGATCTAAACTATGGTTGGGATAATATTGAAAATTAAATTCATATGTATATATATATATATATATATATGTTAGTTTTTCTCTGTGCGTTTGCGATCTGGTTCTGCTAGTATCTTGAAAAGTGCGTTGGTATACAAAAGTCGTCGTCACGATATAGATATTGAGTGCGTGCGAAATACGCACGTAGGTCTAGTATACTTCACTACAACACGGGTGTCACTTGCGGTCCTGGCGGCTGTGCGCGGCCTAGCCTTTCGGCCATTAGTCCTGTTGTCCTTTTCCGGGCCGTCTAGAGGCTCTACATGTTGCGCAGATTTAGAGCCCTTCGAAAAGCTAGAGGCTCTAAATGTTCCGAACATTTTGGGAGCCCCCCCTTCCTAAAATATTCCGACCATTTTGGGAGCCCCCCTCCTGGCTTGGATTGCATGGCCACTGTGATGCGATGTTTGTACCCATTACGCTGCGTTCTGCTATTGCGTTTGTGGTGTCTGTGGGGTGCTGAGGGTTTGTCGGATCTGCGGAATAGCAGGGTTTTGTGGTGTTTGTAGTGTTTGTGGGTCGGTATGTTCTGTGGGGTTCGTGGGGTCTGCGGGGTCTGAAGGGGTTTTGTGGGGTCTGAGGAGTTTCGGGGGTCTGCCGTTTGCGGGATTTGTGGGGTCTGTACGAAGATTTTTAGACGATACTCCCCGGCCAAGAATATTCTGAATATATTTGATGCGTTCTTTGTGTTTATTACGCTGCGTTCTGCTCCTATGGTGTTATGGTGTTCGTACTGTCTGCAGGATTTGTGGGCCTGTATGTTTTGCGGGGTTTGAGGGTTTAGTGTGATCTTTTATATACGTTCGAGTTTATGGGAATGACTTGTATGTTCTGCGGCGTTCACGGGATCTGACGGTTTATATGAGCATCCGTCAGAGCTTCAGTAATTGTGGTTAAGAGTAGGGTGACTATGGAATGTCGGATTTTGCTAATTTCCTAGGACCTCCCAAAAGCGATACGATTAATGAGGATCATCTGTCTGGATATTTCCGTGTTGTCGCGGTATTTGTGCTTAAATTGAGCGTATGAATCGATATCCTAATCGATATTTACTAGATCGTTTTATGAGCCACTGCTCCATGTAGTAAAGGGCAACAGAGGGTAGTAAAGTGCAATAAGGGTAGTAGTCAAGAGCGGTAAGGGATAGTATGAAATAGATAAAGGGTGGTCAGAGGTAGAAAAAATTGGTAGTAAAGGGAAGGATAAGCTACAACTAGGATCAATGAATTTGATGATCTTCTTACTTTCTCAAGAGAAGAGCGATATTTCATAGAGATATGCGATAGAATTTTTGAAAAATGAAAGGATCTCTCTAAATTATTTAGAATTTTTAAGATTTACGATTTGCTTTATCTATAATAGAAATTATCTATATTATATTCGATTCTGATATTAACTATTATGGATTTGGCGAATAGAATATGAATAATATAGGAGTATAATGGGATTATTTTAGAATATAAATATATAATTTATTTAGAAATTTCTATTTGGAAAGATTTGATTTAATGGATTTTGAATCTTCTTATTCTATTGGTATTTTTCGTATAATAATGAAATAGAAATATAGATTGAAATTCTAATCTTTCGGAGAATTGAAATATAGGATTTATAGGCACGAGATGATTCTATGATTATTGGCTCAATACTCTTATTCTTAGAGATATGGATATATATATATATGAATATTCTTCTTATGATCTTCTCGAATGCTTTTGTAGAAATAATTCATTATAGAAAAAA